ACATATTCCAGCGTTAGGCTAAGGGTATTTGAAGCTTATCGTTCATTTGGGAAATTTTATTGTTTCTGCGTATGGTTTGACAAGTTTGGCCACTGCAAAGTAAGCACTTAAAAAAAATAAGCCAAGAGACAAACGAACATCCTTTGCATGTGTTCATCCTATAACTACAGTAAGCGGGAGAAAATTGTAAAAGGTTTAATAACAAACATATTAGACATTAATGTAATGTACATGAAATTTTCAAGTCCATCTACTCGTGAGGGCCATTTAACTCTCTTTGTACTGTCGGAGCACATCACTCAATGATTGCTGTGGAAATGTGAATACTCTAGGAAAATGGCCACAAACGGTGTTTCAAGGATTTACAAAGTTTGGATTGAATGCTGCATCTAAATCACTGCCTGTGTTCAAAGCACTTGGCAATTCTGTTTATATTCATATCGGATTTCACCTTTTTTCAGCTGTTGGTACGTCTAAGGCCATTGGAACCGTGTGATTTTTGGAATAAACTATCGCCAATTAATCAATTGCATATAGCTAGTATTTTTGGACAATGGGTTCTGTTCCATGCAGATAACATCTGGTTTTGTCCCATACTAGTTATTTACCTAGTGGGCGTTTGGACAAAACTGCTTTGGTGCTCAGGTGGTTCTACGAATAAAAATTCCATTACGAATCGTTAAGTCAAATACCATACAAAGCTGACTCTGTGGGGTGTTTACATTTTCTATTTTTTATTAAATATCTTGACAGAGGGTACACTACATGTGTTATTTGGACCTTGGCAAAAACTACATGCATCTTATGTGAGTAGCACGAAATATTAAATTTAAACTGCGCTATTTGATTTACATCATAAAAAAACGTAAGTCAGGCCTAAAAACAATATAATAAGACATATCCCGAATATGGCTATATGCCAAGACATGCTCCTGATGCACATTAAGACGATTTGGATTAAAAAGAATCATCGTAATCACATCCTGTTTACAAAAAATGCTGAGATCCTGTTGGACTCTCAATGTTGTTATCCCCAGGAGAGAATGCGGAAACATCAATTAAACAGTCAGACAACTTAGATTTAACTGTGGTTTTATTTCATAATGAGACAGTACCAACCTACATTGTTTTGGTGTGGCTTATACTGTTTACAGTCAAAAACTTTTGTCCAAAGATTTATAAACAGATTTTTTCTGGTCTATTGGAAAGCATGTAGTTTCACAAGGATTGGTATTTAAGATTGTAAAATAAGACAGATTTCTCAAGTTTTTGTGGCTGGCCACAAACATTTTATTTTTCCAGACAAAGACTTGTCTGGAATGTATACGGACGCAAACACAAGTACTTATCTAATAGTGCTCTGTACTAAGACGTGTATATGAGGAAATATTCAATGTTAATTTTGTGAGGGATTAATAAAAAAAGCTGTTGTGAGATGTAACCATGTCAAACAACTTCCACGGGGGTCGTGAGTTCTTGCTCGGTTGGGGAAGTTTTGTTTTGTTTTGTTTTGTTTAGGTGTGTGGGGTACGAGGGTGAATTTCGAATATTTTTCGAATATTTTTTTTCTAGCCAATCGAGACAAATGTTTAAAAAAGTAGACAAGGAGAGTTTGGCTGTAATGTCAAGACTCATGAACGGGACGGGGAAGGACACATTCATTGGTCTTAATGTCGTTTTGTTATTGATACGGCATGTTTTAACAGATGATACCTCCGAAACTTTAAGAGAGAGAGAGAAAGAGAGAGAGAGAGCACTCCTTCACCCCGACTCCGCTATTATCATTCCAAATGAATGTGATATTTAATGTTTCACAATGCCAGACACCCATTGATTGTACTGTTGTCCTGGGGGTTCCAAATTCGTCCTTATAGTCCAATATGTATGCTTTTCTATCTGGCGACTGCCACATTAGTTGAAAGTGAAGTGGTTCACATACTGAGGACAAGTGTAAAGAGTGCCCGCGTTGATTAGGTCGTACTAGATTGACATTATACGGTTGTAATACACACGAATGTTATCCATCACAGTTGTAATTATGTCCTCAACATATGTCAAAAATATCATTATTTCTCCCCATGTTCAGGTACGTTACACGATTAAATGGATTCTGTTAATATTTGACAAATGGCATGTCAATTGAATGCCTTGATTTTGGTGTCATATTTCTTTCTAATGTGAACGGGAAATTAATCCATGTTGAAATTAATACGCCAGTGCTCGGGGAGAGTAATTTTCTTGATATTTATCTAAGCTGTAATGCACGAGAAACTATGAGTACGCTATTGAGTTAACATTTTTGTAGAGACTTGTAAGAATATCCTGATGTAAATCACGTTTCAAAGCAAAATTTACAAAAAATAATATAGAAATAAGATAAATAAATGAACGAAATTACAGATTCACAAAAACAATATTTGATTTACAACAACGTTTAGTAACGTTACATAATCCCGTACAGAGGCGGTGGAAGATTTAGCATAATGTTCCTAATGGTGTATGCATTGCAACCTGCTCAGTGTCTACTAATTCGCACTGAAAAGCATAGGAACTAATGCCAAATTATATCCAAGTACAAGATTTAAAAAAAAACGTTGGAAATAGCATGCACCATTTGTTTTGTATTATATAGTAAGATATTTGTCTTTAACGCGTGAGTATATTTTTGGTAAATGCCATATCATAGGCCTACAACCCACAGAAGAGAGGAAGGTATACTTTCTTAGGCTTGGTAATATCTGATATGAAAAGCACTGGTAAACAAACAAACAAACATGTATGATCAACTTTCCCATGTATAGGGGTTCATCCCAAAAGCTTCCTCCACTATCCGCAATTCAAATTTTTTTTGAAACAGTAGTAGATTGTCTGAGAACCACTTATATTTCTGTCAAACCAGAAGAATTCATTCATTTTTTTACCATCGATCAACACAAAGCTGTTGCATATTCATGGATTTGAAAGCCCCCTTAAAATAACAAGCCTGAAGAGGTAACTGACAAAAATGTAACTGGTGTAGGCGCATTGATCAGTACAAAACATGACATAACATTTTAAAAGAACTTTTTACTGAAATTATGTGAACTCCTTACATAGCCCCTGGTGTAAAAAATGTTTGCCATGACACAAGTAACGCTGCACTACTGAAGAGCATTGACGTCACTCTCTTATCCTATCTACGTCATATTCTACATGTAACAATCGAATCAAACTTGTAGGAACATGTTGGCATGTCCGACATTATTAGCAGCGCTTCTGTTTAGTACTTGGCGTGTTATACGAGCCGGAATCTACGGCTTAGATTTGATCTTGCTACCTTGTAATACCTGGGCCCCGTATCTCGAAAGCTTCGCTATGTTGCGCACGTGCGCAAGCGTCTCGATTCCATAACTCGTCCATACTCGTCCCATATAATACATTGTAGCCTCTATTAGATATAGCGATTCGCAATACGCGATGCTTTCGAGATACGGGGCCCTGGTTTCAAGGCCCAGAAGAAAAATAAGGGAGAATTTCTGTTAAATTGTCCTGCTGCTATGCACCATGAATAGACATATTTTGAATATTTGCTGACATTTCTATAAACAAACTTTCTTCAAAACATTATTGAATTTGACTTGCAATTCAACATTTTGTAGAAGAGATAACTGTTAGTTTATTCGTTTTTAACTTTTGAAATTTAACACAATTTGAAAATCATTTGGCCCTATGTCTATAGTGGCGATAACACTCGTGTCCTTCCTAAAGATGATAATCCGAAACTGTACTTTAAGAACCTTCTTTTAAGAATATTTTTAACTAATCTAAATGATGATTTTGAAAGCAGACCATGCATGGTATTAATAGGATTATACATCCGTTTTAGTTGAAGCAAAATAGAAAGAAAATGCAACGTAGAAACAAAATTTGCCAAACGTGCTCGAGAACAAAATGATTATGACTTAAAACCAACAGTTAGTACGTGTATAACTTTTTTTCTTCTTTGTAGTTTTCCTACGAGGATGCTCCAATTCTATAAGGTATTAGTGATTCCATGTTGGTGTGCGTTTGGCATATATATCTGATATCCATGACAAGAAATCAATGTGAAAAGATTACTTTTCAAATAATTTTGAAAGATTTGTGATTAATGTTCAATTAATCTAAATAACCCTTCGTGTGCTCGGAGTCTCAGAGTGTGACGGATATGCGGGGGAGGTAACATTGAAGAAAAAGTGAGGCATTCTTTTAATATACAGATTGTCAGCTCATATCGTCACACTGTGGGCCCTTCCTGTGTATAAGTATGCCAGGAACTTGCCATCTCCAACCTTGGCCGCTTAACCTTAGATTACATGCGCAAGTCAAATCTGATAAACTAGTAATATTTCCGTTTTAAGGAAAATCCCCCTTGGAACGGTTGGCATCAAATTCTGTCTATCTGCTAACCACCGAAATGCACCCAGAGGGAGAAAAGCAACTTAAAACACTTTAAACTGGATGTAAAGGTCTGTAGCTACATTCGTTAATTATTAAGGTAACCGATAAAGTATATTACTTTGTCTGGCCAAAAAGCAATTAAGCCCGCGCCTTATGTGACATCTACTACAGGGTAATTACCTACATGTACTATGTATGCAACACAATGTGACTCATATTTTGAATTAACGCCGTGCGCTCATCTTTTATTCAAACAGACTGTTTTTTAATCACCATTCGCATTACATGAGATCTGATGTCTTTAGATTTACAAAAAATAAATACTCCCTAATGTAATTACTTCACTCGATGCGTATATTAAAGCTGCGTTGCTTTTAAAAAACTAAAAGTTTGTAGTTAAAAGATAAAAACAGGATATAGAGAATAAAGGGGGCAATGAAGGAAAAGGAAGAAACGAAATAAAAACGTTCAAAAGACGACAAAAAAGTCCAAAGATAAAGCAGAAAAGAGAAGAAAAAAAAAGAAATTATCAGAGCAAGAATAAAAGACGAACAAGATCAACAAGTAAGAAGCTAACTCACATCTGTCTCTGGAAATTGTATAGGATATTGGTAAACCCTGGGCAGCTCGTCTCTAAACCTCATAGCTCTGTATGCACATACACAGGACAACACTGTCAGCAATATCCCGGTGTGAAAGGCTGTTGGCAACATTTTGATATCTGTCCTGAAACAAAATTCAAACATCATAATTTTCATTAACTTCTCAGCTTGATTGCATTGGAAGAAAGGTCGACTAGCATGACAAACAAGAAAACCAAAAGTCTGGGAAGAAAGTGGTAAACGAAAAAGGCAAATACATGTTCCTCCGTATTGTTTTTTTTTTTTTTTTTTTTTTTTTTACTTTGGACCTTGCTCTTTGCATTATAAGGATGTGACTTTTGAGCAACGGTTTTGGAAACAACGCCATTTTATATTTTTTTATAAATATGTACACGTGTATAGGTAAAGACGCGCAAGTGCTTTTCCGTGTGCAGTTTTCTATCCCTTAAATGTGTAATTTTGTAAAGAGAAAAATCACAAAGACAATATTTCGATTATATTTGCAATAAATAAATAAATGCGATATAGGACACTTGGATAATGTTTAATGCACTGCTTCCTTGTCACGCTTAGGCTATCACTGGAAAGCAGAGCCTTGTTGCACCAATGCTGGATAACGCTCTCCTATGGATACATGTAACACTGTCCATTAGACAAAGACTGTTATTCTGTAGGTTGGATAATTCATCGTGTGGATAGCACTATCCAAAGTACATAAAACACTTGTCTCTTCTGGATAAGCTATCCAGGATCCATCGGATAAAAGCCATTTTTATCCACTGGATAGCGTTGTCCGCCGTTTGACGAACTTGAGTTTGAGTTCCTACCCCTGACCTAGCCATTGTTGCACTTCGATCCACTCTTTAATACCAAGTAAAAGTAGCACGTTGTTATAAAAACAATTAACAAAGTCTCAAAATAGTAAAGGTCATTTTGCACCAAACAAAACGCTCACCTTGAATCGCCCGTGGGTAAAAAAATCAACACAACAATCGATTTCCAATATGTCACGTCATGTTAAGAAATTTATCGAAGTTGTAAAGGGATCCCGCGTGTTTTGTGAGCGTCATGGCGCTAAACTAGAGTTGGCCTAGAGTACATGAACAAGTGTTGAATTAAAAAAAATCCCAATTGCATTGCGCAAGTGAACTTAACATTGTGACACCGCTTTATACACCGTGTATCGATATCGTAAACAGTAATTGGAAAAGTGTTCCACTATCGATTGAGCTCAAATTACAAATATTATTGTGTATAACTAGGACACGCGTCTTGACATTCCACAAAAATAAAATGGAGAGAGAGAGAGAGAGTGAGGGGGAGAGAGGGAGAAAGAGGGGATGAATAAACGGTAGGATAGAAGAACAAAAAATAATACCAAAATAGAATATTTAGAAAAATGATAGAAATTTGGGAAAGAAAGAAAGTAAAAGAAAGAAAGCAAAATAATAACTCTGTATTTCTGAAATGTCAAGGCACCTGGCGGTGAACCAAAACAATGCCATTATCACGCATTTATAACAGCAATACAACCTATCAATACTGGCAGCACACGCCGACCTGACATGTGTAGAAGATCCACATGCAAAATTACACCCGCAGATGTAAGAGCAATAAAATTAAACCACATAGTGCGAGATTAATACTTTCACCAGCTGATTACACGATGTAAAAAACGGCTTTTATTACCAACGGGGCTTTGCCCTTATTTCAGACTGATTATACACTTCAAAAACAAATATTAATAATTGTTCAGCAATTTTTACATATTGTCGGCTACTTGTTCTATCTGGGCAAGGCCGGGTTTCAGATTGGCCTTCTTACACATCTTCTATTCTTCCAACAACATGAAGGCGTTTTGTTAAGTATTTAGTGTACACTGTAACTCCATCACAGTTTAGGGTCGAAATATAGCACTTACAATTGGAGACTATAACAGATGTGTAATCTGAGATGACATTTTGAGCCTATTTACAGCGCAAATTGAAATACATGCAGGACTTTTCCTTACATTGAGTATACCAATACTCCTCTCTAATTGGATTAGAGTTATTTACGGGACTGGAACAGGGGACTAGATGATGCAAAGTTCTCATGTAAATGGGTCAGGGTAACGTCCTGTCCAAGCAATCGTCCAAATCAAATTGGTCACGAAAGACTGGCTCAGACTAGCTTCATCCAGATGAGCAACACAATATCATCTATCAGCAGTGCAGATTCCCCTGGTAAACAACAGGTGTTTTTTGTCAGTTAACTGGAACGTTTCTTTTTGTCAACAATAATATTTACGAAATCTTATTATTTACGGTGCTGTGTGTAATACTTGTTGTCAACATCTATGTGACCCGATTCGGGCCGGTGGTCTACGTCTCACTACATATAAAAATCGTGTTTATTTGCAAAACTTTATTTTTAATTTGCCAGGGATCAAGTAGGCCTACCCCCGCAAAATTCACAATCCTTCTACATGTTTACAGCATGGTTGCATACGATTCTGCTCATGCATATAATGTAATACCCATTCGGTTTCCTATTCCAGCCAGACACTGGTTTGTTCGATATGTAATGAAAAAAAGTACCATTTGCTGAACGAAAACTTATGCATCAATGTGAAGCATTCGCCCTGAACGATAATTTTGGTACTTATATAGTATGCAGGAAAACGTGAATCTTCCAAAAACATCAATACAATCAATCGAAAGTTCGTTTGTCTGCTGTCTACGATAAATGCTCGTTTTCTATGGTTAATATTTTGCTGCTTATGCATGGACGCCTCTCCCGTCCCTCCCTTTGTGCTTTAAGTAGTTTCTGGGGACATTTTTCCCTGTAGTTGTTAAGACTACAGAACCAGCCAAGGCAGGAAATTAAATTTGCAATTTGATTGCCTACGATTTGCTTAAAGACTAAAAAGGGTTTTCTTCCAACAGTAATTATTTCTGGGAAGTGCCTGTTAGAATTGTGCCTTGATTTAGCCCATGGTACATAATCTGGCAGTGACCGATAGGTAAGTAGATCTAAAGCTTTAGGACTAATGCATTAGAGTAGGAGGAACATATTATAACAAAGTTCATTGAAAAAGTGACGTTCTATAAACAGTTTCACATGAAACAACAGAGGTCTTCAAATTGCTCTCTTGGCCCATTACATGTGAATATTCCTAAAACGACGCTCGTCATGCCCGCCTGTGTTTGTGTGCAAGTTTTAACGAGTGCCCTGACACGTGTAGTGAAATAGCACACCTCTTGACAATCAGACCTCACTTTGTATCAAGCTTAAGATTTGGCACACAAACAGGCGCACGCTGAAAATCTGAACCGCTCGATGCTGATAGTACATGTACCAAGTTAGACCAGATCACAAAAACTGTAACGTTCTCCAAAATTAAACAGTTTGGAAGCAGGAAGCTCTGCCTTAATCTCACAAGAAAAACAAGTTCACAATCTTAAATTGGACAGTTTAGGAACACTTAAAAGAAAAAAAAACCTACCTTAAATGCACGAACTCTTGAAACAAGTAATACCACTTGGCCTCGTGATCAAATACTGCTGCAGAAGCTAACAGCTAGGCATTTTATACTTGTCGATATCATTCAAAGACCAACAATCGATCCTTTAAGGGGGTGGAGATGCAAAAATACGACCAGCCACCGCGCTCGTCAATAAGCAGGCAATGTTTGTCTTTGGCATTGATTTACGCCTTTCTGAAAACTTAGAGTGGGACTTAGGACATAAATATTTTATTGGTATTGAGTAAAGGTTTAAGTTGGAAGAATGGTCGAGAATCATGAGTCTTGTTTGCAGGAATTTCTCATTCGTCCGGGTATTATTTCCTTCCGTGACAACTGTGATTTATTCTGAGGTAGATTGGAAGTTGTAACGTTGTGTTTTGGCAAATGAAAACATGTAGTTAGCGGTAAATGTTGGCAAATAGTCCAACAACAGTTTCCACCTCGTTATTTAGAGCGTCATGTATTGATCACAGTTTTCACGTCTTCTTGATCTTTTTGAAAACAAAGACATCGTAAATCAGCATACCGAAATGGTTTACGAAATGAGCATCCTTATCGTAAACTAATAAGGAAATGTTAAAATGTGAGTTATTCAGGTATTTCTTTCTTTCTTTTTTATTTAATTTATTATTATCTATTCATTTATTTATTTTATTCATTTATTTTTTGTTTTATTGCTATTTATTTATTTATTTATTTTTTAATTTTAATTTTTTTTTTCTGAGATAATGGATCTGGAAAGCTGCTATAAATCACTATCACATGTAATAACGTTCCAGAACCGCTTCTACTAAAGCTGAAATGGCTGGTAGGAGTTGGGATCAGTCGATCATCTTTTTTTAAAGATCGCCCACCTTTGTTACAAACTTCGTCTATTCTAGCATTCAATTTACGAATAGTAGGTCGTTATTCTATTCTCAGCACAATCCATCGTTAATTTGGAGAATGAGCGATCAGTCTGCCAGTCGCTTTAATGGGTGTGCCACCGGACGCATTTCAAAAGAAGCGACACCCACGTGAAGGTCCTGTGTGAAAAAAAGGAAAATTGCCATCGATATGTAATAATCTCCGTTTGACATATCCTGGGGAAGTTCTGATAATCATCAGTTAGCAGTATACACGATAATTTACATCAAGACCAAAAGCGGTGTTGGCAATTAACCTAGATGTAAATATTATAGTAGAATGCAAAAATGTGTAATTTTGACGAGTATTTTGGACCGAAATTGTGGACAAGATTGTGTGTGTTTATGAGAGAGAGAGAGAGAGAGAGAGAGAGAGAGAGAGAGAGAAAGAGAGAGAGAGGGGAGAGAGAGAGAGAGTATTCAACACGAGTTATTAGCATGAAATCGATAGATATACATTCCTAGAATATACTAGAATATGAAAGAATATACAGCTACAAAAATAAGTTTAAAAACTAGCTCGCTACGCTGAAACAGGCTACCTGACCATCACAAATGTATGAATACACTGTAATTCAATGACAGTTCTTGCAACACCTTTTCCCATTTCCTCATGGAAGTCATTTCCCGACGAACCACCGTGTAGCAAATCTATCAGCGTCACCTTTACAACTGTACACGAAATAATTGCTGTAATACATGCCCATGGCACTTGTGTCGAATTTAAAGAAAACTTATGGTTTTGCGGATTATTAAGCACGTGAAAAATAGTGTCCAGTGGCACTATAAAGATGGACATTGGGACTATACGGGAGAGACGTAACGTGCATAGTTTTTGGATTGAAACATTGCAGTTCTGCAACATGAAGCCAAATCGCAGTACTTACTCATAAAAAATGCAGTTAGATAAGAGCATAATTATACCATAATTATACATTATATCATTAAACGAAGAAAGGCAGACTCGAAAGCAATTCAAGGTGATATGGGTTTTGTGACGTCACAACATCTGTGAAGCACGTCACATAAACGTAAATTTGGCAGATTATTATATGTTTTTTTTGTGTCCAATTCTCTCAATTCCTGAATTATTTCGCTGTTTTGTAGCATATTTTGATTCTCATTTTTCTGCCTGCAATTTAAGAAATGAAGACAGGTTAATCCTATTCAGCAAGAATAACTGGAAATGTACCCCGCGCCTTATCGACCCGTCTTAACACATAACCTGGCCCTGGCGTAAAACACAATTTAAGGAAACACTGTATTCAAAGAACTTTGACTTAAATCGATTGGCAGACGGATGTTTGTGTTGTGAACCGATTTAGATTTCACCGAAAGTAAATTATTTTCAGGGCGAAAAAAGTACGAGAGTGAAGGTGGATTTAAATTGATTTAGTAATCTGTCTATTGGGCCAATAATTCGTAGTGACATTAAAGGGATAAGAAGTGGTATTTTGGACCAAAAAATGGATTTTCCTGGGGTAAATGACAATTTTCTCATACTAACCGATGGTTAATGAATCCGTTTCGACACTCATAATTAGTCTGTTTTTTTTTTCTAAAAAGTTCGGTTTTAAGAGATTATTTCAGCGGGTAGCCATTTATGAAGGTCACATGTTTCGATGGCAAGCACAAATTCCAAAATAATTGCCATAACCGCCGTATCGGTGGTAAAATAGAATTTATTCTATTTCTATGAGTTGATAGCAATATATTTATCGTGAAATATGGATCTCATAAGAAGAGTTGTTATCCCTGTAAGGCTATAGCAGGCTATATCTGTCGTGGTTAGAGATGAGGGGATGTAGGCATCAAAATGTTTCATCTGTCACATCTAAATATATCTATAAAGATGTAATTTAATACACAATCACCTTCAACGATCACCCCCCTGTCTCTCTCTCTCTCTCTCTCTCTCTCTCTCTCTCTCTCTCTAACTGAATTTTTGAAATGTAGAGTAAAATAACGCTCTTAATGCCGTGAAAAAATTTTGACATATGTTATTTTCGAAACCGACCCCCGTCATTGCATTCCCTGACACTCTGAAGTAATGGTGGCGGTAATCGCTGTGAAAGCCCAAGTTTACATCGATTTCAATATCAGCGGGAAAAAAAGATAAAACGAAGGGGCTAGATCAATAAAACTGACTTTGAGGAATCAAATAGCTCTTCATTTTCCCCTAATTCAATTGGGGGTTATAGCACAAGTCAATATCGCACTTTGTAGATAGAGGAGAATTCCTAGTATGTACACGCTCTAACAATTTCGCCTATGTTTGCTATTGTTTTGAAAGAAAGGTGCGCCTCCTCCGTTGATCAGATTTCAATTACGGACAATTTGGTAAATAAAAGAAATTCAATAAAACGCTTACCAAGAAAAATTTTACTAGGAAAAATAAAACATTTTATTAGGTGTAATTTGAGTAAGACCATGCACCTAGCATGCGTAATGTTCTGAATCCTCTTAATTGCACGAAGAGCATCGCTGATTGAATTTAAGCAGAACTCAGTCACTTGCTGTCGTAATGCAGAACCGATTTCTGATAATTAAACAAAGCAAATCATATTATTCCAAGTGATACCATTTCAAATTATTTTGACCCGATACTTTCTTCTACGTCAGTGCAACAACCAGTGTTTGTATGTCTTGGAAGGAAGTGAAAACACAACCTAACACAACCTTAATCAACCGTCGTTGTGAATTAGTTACAAACCACCATGCCGCTGACTCACGAGTCTCGGGAGAGATTTTGCAAAACAGATATTGAATGATTAATCTAATAAAATAAATATAATGCAAAACACACCGTCGAGAAGCATTCAATTTGACGTAAAGTCCCTCTCCCTCGAGATGTATAACCTAAACGATTTCCTTTTTAAGGGTATTACAGATAGGTCGGACATCGGGCGGGTTGTCTGTCGTAATTAAGAGCTTTGACAGAGAAATGGGTCACAGAAACTTACAGCGCATATAAAACTGGTTCTGTAAGTACTTAAACCGACGCCTCTAGTAAGAAAGCCCACATCTTTAATGGCACTTTTATATGGCCATGTATATTTGCAATTATGTGGACAAAAAATATTTCGCTATATTGAAACGATAACATATTTTGCACCTTTGTATTTAAAGATATCGTGATTAAAATACAACCATAATTAAAATGACAAGAATCCATCTGACCGCCTCCCCAAATTATCAATTTTGTGTACCAAATTTCATTGGGTAACCACCCTGGGTTTCAGATATTATCATAAGCATACCGTGTACCTCAGGCAAGCTGATGGTTCTCTTGTAAACTATGAGAACCAGGGTGTACCACGTCTCCATAATGAAAGTAGAATAAGACTTGATACATCACCAGAAAGGGCGGTTTCCAATTCACAAATATAGGAAATATAATTAGTTTTCCATTTGCATGCAAGAATATGATCTGCGTTTAGAACGAGAGTTTATAGATGGTTGAAACTAAGGCACCGTTTAGTATCAGAGCTGAAAGTGACTATAGTACTTTTAAAGCCTGTCTTAAAACTCATCTTTTTAAAGAATTTTATGGTTAGTGTTCCTTTAAACCTTTTAGTTGTTTATTATTTATTAAGAGTGAGCTTGGGTTAATTTTAGTAGTATTTTAAAGTTATATCAATAAATTTTCTCTGCTTTCTTTAATTAATTAGTTTTATCAGTAAATGTTAAAGTATTAGTATTGTTATTTTTAGACTTTTTAATTATTTGTAAAGTGCATTGAAATGTAAAAAATGGAATGCGCTATATAAGAAATAAATATTATTATTATTATTATTGTTTATGTAACAGTAGAATGCAATGTACCCGTGGTGGTTAAGCATATGTTGTGTTTATTTCTAATTAGCTGTTGGATATTTAATCAGAACTGAAAGGGTAATTCTGCTGATACCAGCCTGTCTGCTCTTCAGACAATTCAAATCCCCAAACACCTGTACCATGGGGGCAATGGTATGCACCCATGATACTTCAGTAAAATGTTGTATTACTGGTTGAGTATCTAATCAAAAATTGAGATAGATCTATTGGTGTCAGTTTTTTTGTAATCCATGCAGTAACAGGTGATGCGACGCCACAGATGACTTTGCTATTCTCCTAAAACACCAAAAGCGCGCATCCATCGATATGGTACTAGTCAAAACGTAATTCCTGCATTCCCATAGGAAGTACATGTTTGATTTGATTAGGAATAGACAGGAACTTCCTTGTAGAACAAGGCATCTTGTAGTTGGCAAACACTTATTGAGTTAATTAAGATGTTAACAACATCGTTGTAATATAATGCATAATCCTATGATAATTGTCGGTTACGATATGTACGTGAAGAGTGTGCCTATTGCTGTCCCCAACGGTGTCACCGCGTATATACTAGACTTTGGCGAATTAAAGAACGGTTATAGGATATTTGAAGCATGAATTAATGACAAAAAAATCTTAGTTACATAGTTTTTTTAGCAAACACAATGTTACACCGTGAAGAAAGAAAGATTTGTTAAAGTAATTCTTCTACCACAAAATCCCTAAAAGTGTCCTTGATTTCATAACTTTGCAAAATGTTAACAGATGGGCCTGGCCCCCGGAAACTTAATTATTGGTACCATTCAACAGACTGTTAGTTTAGAAATTAAGTAAGTGGCGGAGACTGGCGTTGTTGAAAGTCACATTTCTGGGCGAATGTGTCTGCTAGGGATTGGGTTGGGGGGGGGGGGGGTGGAGGGGAGTGGCAGAGTAAGTCAAAGTTGCATAGTATGCTGCCAGCTGTATTTGAAATAACTGATCTGTTGTACATAACTGCATCCTTATCATGCTTCTCTTCCTCTTTTTAACTCATTTTTAATTCAAACGGTAGATATCTATCCATTTACTTATTTAAAATCAAAATTTTATTTGACTATGGTTGCTTTGAAATAAGGGTAATCTATGAATTTCTACGCGAATAATTTCATTCCAGTCATTAAATTCAGAATAAGAGTAGGTAAGAAAAGCTCTTTTAGTTTTTCTTTTCATTCTGGACACAAAAGTTTTATGTTATATCCCTGTCAATGACCGGTACTCGGCAATACATTAACTCTGTGTAATCACGACTCAATATTGGTCGGTTCGTCTAATTTCTATGGTCTCTAAGGACCCATCCCATTCAGAATCAATAAGAAGTAGATTAGCAATTAAAATGCCCTAGGCAAATTACACTTTAGGTCTAACAGGTTATTTGGTCAGCAAATAATGAACCAAAGTCGTAATACACACCTCTAACTTAAGAAAGAAAATGAAACGAAAAACAAAATGAAATAAATAAACGAAAAGAATATATAATTAGGTAATGAGATTAATTAAAATAATATAATTTAATGTTATTCAGATAAGACTTGAGAAACTCTTTAAACACAACGTTTCTTTCACATTGATATTCAGATTCTTAAACAACAATATTATCCCGTATAGTAGGGCTGTACGTTACACAGAACTAAGGTGGGCGGCAAGGGTATCGATATGGCTGTGACACGGCCCACACGCAAAGGTCTTCTTCGTCACCAACACACATTCCTCTGTATTAAATAACCATTGAGCCCATTGTCATAAAAGTCCAGCTGTACATAATACACATTTTTCACAATCATGTAGCATGTTGACTGGTAAGGGGGACAGTTAAATGAGGAATTTATTTGGCAGTAGAGGCGGGACTTGGCGTGAAGCTCTGTGTGTGGGGCACTTGCTCAATACGCAGAAATACGTAATATATTATTTCATAATTGAATAAATGTATTTGTACTTTATTTGTGCCATGCAAAATAATATACTCATTTGGGCCAAAATCTTTGTAATTATTGTAAGAATCAAAGTATTATTATTATTATTATTATTATTATCCAAGAGTTGGAGAGGGTGTATCCAGAAAGATCCGACTCAGTATGAACTCGGGGGGCTGCAGCAAATCTTTGAATCCTCATACACTCGTACACTACATACCACTGGACATGCTACTGCTTGCGTTCAATTTTATCTATCCAACATTTCATTAATCAAGTTGGTCTAAGAATATATATACATACATAGCAAATGAATACATACACAAGAAATTATGACAAATGAATAAATAACCCTGCTATAAGGAAACTTTGACTGTGAAAAAATAAAATTTTTACCCAAATTTGGTTACCCCCCCCAACCCTTACATTTGTTGATACATGCTTAGTAACATTTCTTCGAGGAAGGGGTGGGAGTGCGTATCTATGACCTTATCAATCCTTGCGAAACTTGGCAAGCCATCTGGGGGGTAAAAGTATACGGTATCAATCATGTAGGTAAACAAGAAAACAGTTGAGTCAGTAGAATGACACACAACCAAATAGAAATAAAATTAAAAAAATGATTAAGCAAATAGGTAAACAAACAAATTAAAGCTTGTACTGCGCAAAACCAGCCACATTTGATCGCAGGTTGGGTAAACAAGGAGTCGAGACAATACTCATTAATTATTTCTTATTTAATTGTCTAACTTCACAAGAATCTTGCCCTCAAAAGTACTTAGTCATTAATTTTGTGTGACCTAATGATTAACGGGATATTTGGGTGAAATTAAGGCCTCGAAACGTTGGAGCAGCGCGCTTCCAGGAATTCTGTAAAAACGTTCAATAGCAACAGCACGTGTACCGTTTATCTTCTTGATAAATATATATTCCATTTATTGCATTAAATCACTTTGTAGTCAGATAATTAGGTCAGGTTCTTTGAAATTAGTGTATGCAGTCGATGCAATTCAATAGTCGCAAAAAGCACATTGCTATGGGTAAAGATTTTGGTCAAATTAAAAGAGCTGCCTTCATTAATTGTCGCTCGTTGCAATGAAAAATACCATTTCCTAACATCACTTTCTGCATATGCAACATGCTATCCCATTTTCTACGAAAACAACCAGCAATGCAGTTTTCTTATCAAGTTTATTAGGTCACTTTTGCAGTAATTTACGACATCGCTTCAGTCCAGCTGAAGTCCTCGTATTGTCCCAATTTTGTATTTTTGGTGCACGTTTTGAAATCGCAAGCAAAAAACATCACAAGTATTCTAAATGGAACGGTTAAAGCAATACTTAACATACAGCGAAAACCTGTTACAAATGTTATCCAAATCACCCAACTCGCTTTCTCTGCTAACCGCTTATCACAGCACAATTCCTTAAGAATAAAATATAATTTGACGTGGTATGAAGATAAGGAGGCACTTAATAAATAAATAAAAATCCAGGGCAAATGCCATTAAACTGCTCTATATGATGACCACGTCTGTCAATTGCACGATAATTGCACTATTGTTTAAATCTCAGAGTTCAAAATCATTCAAAAGGGCCAGGTACTGGCTCCCCAAATGACGGTCATCAAATAGCGATCTTGAAAATTAATTGATCGCTGAGAGGACGACCCCTATAAAAGGGCAGTAAATCTTAGATAATATGGAGCAATTGTTCACCAATGACCGGACCTAACCACCGCAAATGAAGAAGCCCGTCGGAAGAAAGCCAGTGAGAAAATTACTTTCAGAATTACCATGCTATATAAACCCTACATGATAAATTTCTCAACAAAATGTCTTCCATACAAAAGAAAATAGATAAATGACGACTTAACACAAGTAACATTAGATTCCGCTGTAGAAAATAGTTGAAAGTGTGCACCATATGTTTGAGAAATGTACGATTTCCTTTACTTTCTCGCACACTGTTAGCATCGTTTCTTTTTCATCTCCCCACAAAGTGATGCAAATGTGACGTATAAATATCAGCTAGTCCTTTTTGCTTTTAATATTAACCTGACTGGATGATCGACTTTTCATCAGAAACTTAAACGTCATAAACTCTACTGCGTGTAGAGCGCTTGGGCCAAATACATCCTGCAAAAGCTTTATATATTCGAGTCCAAACAGAAATTCCTCGGAAAACGATATCAGGGACACACGCCACATCTGTGTCGAAGATCGTATCGTCTGCCTGTGACTGGCCGCCTGACATTCTGGGCCGCAATTCCGGAACAAAAGTTGATCGAAGCTGAGGAATGAAAGAAGGAGGTTGCTTAAAAATGATATTTTCATTAAAACAAACGGGCTTCTGTTTATTGTCTATCAAACAGTTTTGGGTATCCTTCGAGTCTTTAACAAGTTTTTCTACGTCATCCACTCTATCACAGTTTTCAATTTCTGAGTAACGGCCAGTTCCTTTATTCACTTGATCCACTGTAGGCATGAAAGGAACTGTTCCAACGCTGGCCTGCAGTGGAGGAACGAAAGGGCCGCTTCCGGTCCCTGTTACCTTTCTGCTCGCTAGAGGCGTTATTGCCAAGACACTCCCCAACTTTGGTCTTGTCAGTTTTTCCCTGGGATGAGGTGCGGATGAATGAACTCTTGCCACCTTTGCTGCAGTTTTTTCTGTAATATCGGACGAATTTCCTGGCGGGTTTCTTGCAACGGGGAGGGAGAGACACGGTGGGTGAAGTACAGTGAACTTTGTGCTGGGATTCCAGTGGGAGAGTCTCGGCATTATCAGCAGTCACGACTGCAGCGGTTGCGCCAAGAAGACCACCATCTTCCAAGGCCGTGGCAACTGGAGAAGCTGGTCGTTTGCGATTGGCAAGGTCCGTGAAACTGCCCCAAGATACCTCTTGCCCTTCAAGATCCTCCTCCTCCTCCAATTCCTCCACGTTGTTGTTGATATCTACTGCGGCAGGAGCCAAGGATGTTTTAGGCTGTGGGAAGTCTGCTGAGATAAAAGCAAAAGGAGAGGCAGCACCTCCTGAGGCAATGATCTCCTCTTCCAGGGAAAGATCTTCCATCCGAGCCAAGCCTGCTGCGCTACTGGCACCGTGATGTTTGCAGTGCTGTTGATCAGTGAAGCTCAATGGGGAGTATTCTTCTGCAGCAGAGAGATCACGGATGATTTCTCTTACCTGGTCAAAACACATGCGAATATTAAAAGTATGTCAATGTACAACATGTGATAAAAAGAGAAAGAAAATTTACATGTACCCCAGTAGTTTGGAAATTTGTCCAAAAAATATTTGGAAAGTATTAATTTGGCAACAAGAGAAGAAATAACTTAAAAACTAAGCCTACTTAAATCTTAACACTGTGAAAGTAAAAATTTGACAAAGATGTCAAATATATGTGTATTAATATTCTAACCTCCTGGCTCTGGGATCTTTTGCCAGATTTACGGTCGTAGGGTTTGTAACGGTGTGAAGCGCGGTTCTCTGTAACAGTTTTTTGCTTGCCCATGGGAGTCTAGAGAAAGATAGAAATAAATCAAACATGAAAAAGGCATTTTAAATTGCTAAAGTATTGATCACTTGAAACCTTAATAGGTCATTTACTATTCTGTTCACAATGATGTTTAAATCATCAACAGAGATAATTGTAGTTGGAAAAAACTACCAAAAACAGACAAAGAGACAAATAAAACGTTTTAACAAGAAGCTTTCTCTTCTAATTTCCACTTTCTAATGGTATAAAAATAAATATGAATTAGACATATTTCACCAATGATTTAAGATGTAGATTACCTTAATGAATATGGGAAAATTGATGAAATTCCCAGAAACAGATTAATTGTTTTAAATTATGTGTGTTACCTTAGGTCTGACATCTGCAACCTGAGAAATGACCGCAGCTTTCTTCAGTGTCTCCTCTACCTTCACTGTGACCATTTCATCAAACTTCACACCTTTCTTGGGCTCAGTATTGACAGTGTCCATAACACTGGTCAAGCCAGTGGTCAGGGCAGTTTTAGTGGCTGGAGGATCCATCTTGACCACATCTGAGTACTGCAAAGGGAGTGGCTTGAAGAAAGGCACTAGAGACGGCACCTTGGGAGGAAGGGGGATGGCTGCATGCTTACATTTCTTTTGAAACTGTTGATAAAAAAATTCAAAAAAGAAAACCAGTGACAAAATGATATATGTCATAAAACAATCATCTTGTGCTTAATTTTCCTAGTATCAATTGCCTAATTCATCAATATTCATTAATCAATATTTATTAATGAAAAAATCAGTATCTCACCAAGTCTCAACTTAATTAACTTTTTAGAAAAATGAAAAATTTTTCTTTTCAGTAGCTGGTTACTGTAATACTAACATGTGAAGTGACCAAGGCTGAGGCATCCAGAGCATGGTTCAGGGAGGTGATCCTTTCCTGGATGTCCTGGCTTGGGGTTGGACACTGCACTTGACTCTTGGCTGCGGCTGCTTTGTCCCTGACAGCCTTCTGTTCATGGTACAGAAATCATGACATGCTATTAATGTTCATGGTACAGCAATCATGAAATGGTACAGAATTCATGAAACTTTCTTGCTGGTCATGGTACACAATACATACAGATCAAAGTTATCACATGCTTGACAAGTGGATGGGGCAAAGGTGCCCGTGGCCAAACGGGCTCTGATTTAATGAAGACTGATTTTTTTGATTGGTTATTACTAGAACTGAATTGCAATTCAAGTTGCAACTATATGCAACAGTTTCTTACCATGGGAATTTAGTCTAGCAAGTGTGTGTGTGTGTGTCTGTGTGTGTGTGTGTGTGTGTTACTTTACTTGTATTTATTGACACTGGTTGGATCAACAGAGGACTTTATATCACATATCAACACTGAGAACCTAATCAGTTAGCACCTCAAATGTCAATACAAGTATTATTTGATAGAATAGAAAACATACCTGAATGAGTTCACTGAGTTTGCTCTTCACGGCTACAGGTACAACAATGTCTGACAGTGGAGAAAAAAAGACATGTCAATATTTTACTTTTAAACTGAGATTACATATGAGATACATAGGATTATGAATTTGAAAATTTATTAGATGTGTTGAAAATTAAGAATTAATTTACATAAAAAAATAAAACCCTACGACAAAATTAAATAAATACAAATAAGATAATATTAAAAACTTTTATTCGTGGACAAAAGTGCCTATTTCGGAGCAGAAAGCCATGAATAAACAACTTTTACTCCTTTACCAATTTCCTCCTTCCATAAAACTATGTCTTCGTTATCCATGAGGAATGAATACAATCAAAATATTTTCAACAGAGCTTAACTATAATTATAGACTAAAGTGACCGCCAAAGAGGGGATAGAAACAGTTCAGGGATGGGAAATATGTTACAAAAGAATATATTATAGCATGGTCCTTTAACTGGTCAGCAAATGCTTCATATTTAATATAACGTCCTAATACAACCATGGGAACATTTTAGTATCATTCCATACCAGGGTAATAGAGTGGGTTCTCTGCATCAACTCCAGCAATTTTCAGAGTAGTAGCTATGTCCAATTTGTGACCTGAAAAACAGGACAATTTTCTCTGCTAAAATGATTACTGCAATATCTTTGTAATTCAATTTTCTTATAAGTAACAATGTAATTTTTCATAATCTCAGATTATTTCATGACAACCAGACTGAGTTAAATTTTAACAATGGTCTTTGGATTGATCGTGTTTTGGATGATGCAGCTATGGGATATGAACCCATAACTTTCTGCAGGGGATGCAAGCTTTCTACCACTAGAGCCATCCAACCAGTGAAATAGCTGCTGACAGTGTGGGTCAGTTTCCAGCAACCTCTGATACGCAGGGTGCAGTTCTTGGGCACTTGCACTGACTATAATGTAAAATTTACTACGATAATAAAATGTGAATTTCTAAAAAATTTCATTTTACCTTCCTCCTGGTGATTGACAGTGTGGAAACCCCGTGCATACAGTGAGGAGATGATGTATATGCCGTTCTGTATCATCTGTTTGGCCTCGTCAAGCTGACTGGTCTGCTCTCTCTGAATTCAAAGATGTATCAGATAAATTAACAATGTAACAATTTTACTTATATAATAATAATAATAATAATAATAATAAAACTGCAGTCGCCTATATTACAAAGAAAAAAATTCACATAGCAGCTTTGTTATGATAAATAAAATTACAGTATCTTCCTATTTCATATAACAATCCATTTAATATTGTTAAAAACAGTTTCTTTTTTCACTTATTTTGTATAAAATTCCCTTTCACAAATGGAAAAAAGAAATGAAATAATTATGACAACTGTCTTACAATAATAAATCAGCAGTGATGAGACTTATTGGCTCCCAAAAAGTCAGAAATCTGACAATAATTGGAAAAATCTCATATCTGTTGTAAGCAACAACACCACCCAAAAAGGCGGAAATCAGTCAAAAGAAAAATCCCATCCCTGAATAAGTCAATAATTTAAAAAAAAATAATAATAAAATAAGGAGCAATCTTGACAACATGCATTATACATTTAAATATTTCAAATGACCAACCTTCTGTGCCCAAGCAAAGTCAAACTCTGCTTCCTTCTGTCTAAGCTGCCTCTTCAGTGTGGCAATCTCCCGGCATTGGTCTTCCTTCTCTTTGGTCAGGAAAGTGATCTACAAGAACATATTTAGTCTTAATTGTATACAAATTTTAAAAAAGCAACAAAGTATATGCTGTATCATGTCCTACTGCAGTGTTCACAAAAAAATGCCTGTGTAAGGCATATGTCTCTCAGAAACATTCAGATTGTTTGTAAATGACAGCAAGCGAAGTTGAATGATAATATGAAAAATAATTCTTTTTTTTTTTTAAATTCTCTTCTATTTTTTGAATGGTTTAAAATACTTGATTTATCATTTTAATCAATGTATTTATAATGTTAGGACAAAAAGTGGGACCAACAGCTAGGCTATCATATATTCAATACAATAATAAACAGCTGAAGTAATTTATTTATTTAAAAGTTTTGAACATTAAATTTTCTTTTACACAAATTCAAAGTATCACAACACAGGTGCCCAAAATGCAGGCAAGGAGATTAGGTTGCAGTAAAGACAGCAGCGAGCTTGTCACTGACAACTCCTTACCTTCAGTTCCTCTGAGAAGAGGCATGACCTCAATCGGTGCATCTCTTTTTTAAGTTTTTTCACCTCATCGAGTTTCATCAAGTTCCTGATCTGGGCCTTGAGAGACTGGACCTCCTTGGTCAGCTGTTTCTTGTCCTGTTCAAGACTGTCCATCTTGATGGAAAAAGTCAGCCTAGAAATGGTTGACGGAAGGTATAAATTTAGGTTTGAACTGGACATTTCCATAAATAATTATGATTCTGGAATCTAAGTATGATGCACGGCTTAAAATAAGGATTATTTGAGATGTGCACAATGCACCTTAAGTTTTTGTCTATAAATGAAATTAATATCACCACATAATTTCATCATCAATCCTTCCTTTATTTATTTATTCGTTCATTTTAGTGAACACCACCAATTTGAAAAAAACAAACAAACAAACAAAAAATAATAATAATAAACTACCTGTCAACAGACTGCTGAAGGATGTCTTTGATTTTATTTTCTTTGTCAGCTTTGACTTTTTCCTCATACAACTTCTCATTAATGGCCACCAGCTTCCCATTCTCTGATACCAGACTTTTCACCTGCTTGGAGAACTCCTCCATTAAGATATTCTGCAAAAAAAAAGAAAATTTAATAATAATAATATCAAATATATATAAAAAATAATAAATCAATAAATTAGAATAAAACTTGTGTGTTAGTATATACTTAGGCTGTATTTCCATGTGATGGTTCATCAAATATATCTTAATATTATAACTCTAAAAGTCTGCAACTGTTATTATATCTGATTGGAATATTAGATTTCAGGTTAATTTAAGCACAATACATTGTCACCTACTGGACTAGATGAACATGACGGAAATAAGAAATCACTTTAGTGATTTTGTGAATGCCATAATGGACTCTTCTTCTTTGTTCTTTCTGAAACTGGGCCATCTTACACACATTTCAAATAATAATTTTGTTTTTCTTTTCTTTTTGTCCTTGACAAACATATGCTTTTTTATGTTATTACTGACAGGAAAATAGAAAAAAAAATGGGAAATGAACCCTAACATAATCAAAACCATGACACAACAAGTGGCAATGACCAGTAAAACTCCAAGGACCAGGTGGGTAAAATGCTGTACATATGACTGGTCAGTTTATGGTCAGAATTTTTACTGGGCCAATGGATTTTAATATCCAAGTGGCTTGAAGGCCCAACAAGCTAAATTGTTTTGACAGAGACGGTATTACCTTTGATAGCAGGAGAGAGTCTGATGCTTCAAGCTGGGACTCAAGGTCGGTGATTTTGTTCTGAAGGTCTACTTGTTGTCTCTTCAACCTCAAAAAGTTCTTCAGGCGCCTTCTGCAGTTGTGGCACTTTATTGAACTGTTAAGACAGCATACAATAAAATAACCAACAAAAATATTATACAGTAAAATTACTATTTTCAACTTTTGCCTAATATGAAAAGCATTTATATTGAACATTTATCTAGTAGACCCTTTCAACAAATTAAAGTACTTATCTTAAAGGTTTTAACACTACATTTCCAGTTTTACATCTTAAAGGGATTATAACTCTTCGTATGAGGTCTATATTTCACAATAAAAACATTGTGAATAATTCATAAAAATATAATATATTCTGTTTAACGACAAAAACAGGAGTTATAGCTATTATTCTGATATCTGAGCTAGTCTCCAGACCAGGTGACCTCCATTGATGGCTATACTCTGTTATAATCTCTTGAGAGATTTTAACAAAAAAACCAGGGACTAACTTTGAATGTAAAAATGGATTCATTAACCATTGGTAAGTATAGGAAAATTGTTGTTTACTCCAGGAAAATTCATTTTTTGGCTAAAACAAAGAGTTATTATCCCTTTAATTTACCAAGTAAGAACCATAAATATTAATAAATATACTAATCATAAGCTTAGCTAATCTTCTTCACAAACTCACAGTGCTTTTGGCTTCTTCTCAGTTGCATCTTTTGTGGCAGGCTTGTCCTCGGTATTGGATGGGGTAGAAGATGCAACTTTGTTCATCACATTTGTAGAGGTCAAGGGTTTTTCAATCTTATACCTTGCTCGCTGGGATATCTTGGCCAGAGCAAGTACAAGCAGAGACTGTATGAAGGGGTTAACAGCAACCTTAGATTCCTGCTAAAATTAAAATTTTATATTATTTGCATATTGCAATATATTATTTTATTTTATTTTATTTCAAATTCCCATCATGTTTATAAATCAAATCTACAGGTATTCAAACCTGAAAAGGAAAAATAAATCTTGATTATAACTAGACTATACAACCACCACATACCCCTTCAAAATAAATAAATAAATAAATAAATAAATAAATAAATAAATAACATGAAAACAACTATTTTCTATTCTTATGAAGAGTAATCCTACACAGTTTTCAATGTCAATACTGGCCCCCACACCAAAGCCAGTGACTTAAAGCTGGGCCAATAAAACTTTGTTAATTTCTTCAGTTGAATGGCCAGGGTTTCTGATTTAGACCAGTAGATTTGCAGACCAAAAGGACAATGCAGTAGGATAAATCTGAGGTTTTTGGTACAAACTGAATTAAATAATGCTAAAGCAAAATACTGAAATAGGAAACATACCACTGTCTGCTTGGAAGATGTGTATATAGGGACATATGGAACAAGTGCCTGCTCTGTCACAGCTGCTTGTGGCTCACAAGGAGTCACTTTCTTCTCCTCTTTTTTCTTCTCTGACTTAACGTAATCATAACTGAAGATATCAGGGTCGATATTGAGCAAATCTTTCCAGTGGTCATCTGTGGGAGCTTTTCCAATGTCACAGTGAAACAGATCGGGGTTGATTTTATCAAGAAAATCGGGCTCATCTGGTGTGCTGCTGTCTTTAGTCGAGCTGGACTCGGACAAGTCCAGTTCAAGTTTCAAAAGATCAGTCCAGTGTTTTTTCTGGTCTGACCAGTTTGAAGTTAAGGTGATGTGGTCAGAGGAGCATCGCCTGACCACTGGGAAGTCAAACTCAGGATCTTTAATGACCTCAAATGACCTCAGGATCCCTAAAGAAAAAGTACACATGCCAAAATAGTATATACAGATTTGAAAAAAAAAATGCTAAATTACTTTGATATGTTGGACACCCCAAAAAATTATCTAAAAAATGTGTTTGGCAACATTATCAAAATGCTTTTAGTCTGAGGCTTTGTGGTCAGAGAAAAAAAAAAGACAATTTAGGTAAAAAATAGCGCATTAAAATAAGGAAATAACTTCAAATGCCAAATGCTGTAAATAAATTGAATTTCACTTCTGATACTCATGGCCACTTTACAGATACTTTGCTATTTCACAGCCAGTTTCCAGATTGTTTACTGTATCTTATTCTCCGGTGACCCCTTCATACCTTTCTGACTTGGAGCTGTTTTAATGACGGTGAAAGGGTCACAAAAGTCCACACTGTGGTCAACAAACTCAAAGTTGACCAGGTCAGTCTCAGGTATAAAGGTGTGTATTTTGAACAGCTTGCTGGTGCCTATCACCTGGTCTCCTCTTGCTATGTACAGGAATTGGTAGGAGGCCTCATTGTTATCAGCCTGCAAGTAAATTAGAAAACAAGACAGTGCTAAAGTTATGAATATCAATACATCATTTTCCCCTTCCTTTTAATATTTTTTTCGTTTTTCTTATAGTTAAAATTTCTATTAGGAAATTATGATAATAAGATAATAAGCAAGAGAGAGAGAGAGAGAGAGAGAGAGAGAGAGAGAGAGAGAGAGAGAGAGAGAGAGAATGATATTTGTTGCAATAAAAAAAATGATATTTGTTGGAAGATTATCTACTAGTATAATGATTTAAAAAAAGTAAAAATAAATAAATAAATGTCCACCATCCAAACAGAAAGGCCTGTTAAAACTTACAGGGAGGCTCCTGGCATCAAACAGCACACTCCTCAGGTGGGGGTGGCCAGAGTGCCCCTGAGGAGCGTATCTATAGGTCAGGACCTGGGAGGGAAATATCCAGTCTGCTCCAAACAGTCCTATCCAGTCACAGCTGGATGGAATAAAGTGCTTCCCAATTCTGTATGTCACAAAGATGTCTGCTCCTAAAATTCAAGAGAAAAAAATTATAGACTTTGATTAAAATTAATTTTTCTTATTATCATAATTTCATAGCTATATCTTTCGTCATACAGATAAATGCTAAAACAAAATATTGTATAAGCATTTTTTTGTGTCCAGAAAAACGATGCTTGAGTTTCTATAATTCCACCAAACCTTCTAAATGAATTAAATCAGACTGTAAATTAAACCAATATTGTAGTTCTATGCTGGGCCCACACACACACAATAGGCCTTTTACTGCAACATGTAGGTGATTAGATGCTGACTTCTTTTGTTTATTGAAGAGCTTGCCAAATAATGATTGACATAAAATTATGACCAATAAATAAATTCAATTCACTGGTCAAATTATCACCCATGCATAATCATGTCACAACTGAATTCCATAGGGTCTACCTGGCATATAATTCTCCTGAATGTCCTCAAATGTGATGAAATTAGAGTCCAGGTTGATAATCTCACAGTCCATGTCACTTCCACTGCTTTGTGGGGATGGTGGATTGGCCATGTTGATAGTATGACAGTCCTCCTCTGATTTGCACGAAAATTTTTCTTCAGCAAATTTAGTCTTCAAATCTGCCACTTCAGTGTACTAGTTCCTATCGGTTTCATAAAGATATATATTATTTGATAAAAAGTTAGAAAATGAGAAAAATATTCCTATCATGTTCTAAGCTAGAAGTTATTGTTGTCTTAATGTAAGTGATTTTCTCAAAATAGACGCTTATTTATTTATTTATTTTTTTTAATCATCTGATAATTACACCAGATACATTTTAATTAAATTTAAATTAACTTTCATATCAAAACAGCAATACCGGTGCATTGAAAAAGAAGCTAGTGTATAACAAGAAATACATGACAATATTTACATCTTAAAAATATATATTTCTTCATTTAGCAACAAAAACTACGAGTATATCTGTCACAACAATACTGAATTTGACGTTTATTATATCATATTATCTTTATCATAAATATTATAATAAAAACTGGTTAGTAATTCACAAGTCGAATTTAATTAAAAACTATCAGTTTATCATGTCCATGTTTAAAAAAAATGAAAACCAAATAATGCACAATATGTTTGCCATTGCTTAACATTAAAATACTCAAAGATAATCCCACCAATAATAGAAAATATGGAAATTATTCTTCCTGATATCCGCGGCAGTGTCAAAGATGTTGGTCCTAGCCGGGCAATGACGTCATAATGAACAACAGTCAAAAAACGAGGCTACATAGCCTCTAACTGTTTCTATGCTGTTGCTGTATTCACCCAAACATTTGTTCAGTTTTAAGTTATTTTAAACCGATTTTAATTAATAATATTTTTAGGTACGGGTAATTATGTTTTAATAAAAATAACTTTCCCAATTTTGTAATTTTTAAAAGTATTGTACTCGAGAGTAGGTCAAGGTCAAATTGGGAATTCCCCTTTGATGCTATTTTCTCAAGTGTACATGAACAGCCTCGAATGGGGTCGATTATAGCAAGGCGTTTAGTCATATATTTATAGAGATAACATATAAACCCGCATTTATATGGCAAAGTATATATAAGAATGCTTATCGGTTCACCCTTGTGTTATTTACCGATTTTTATTTATTTTTTCTTTTTGAGACGGCGAAACCAAAGAAATGTTGTACATGTACCTTATTGTACTCCCATTTTACATTTTGCTGCAGGTGGGATTTCTTTCTGCTTCACGTGTCATGCTGTTATGTATTTCAGTGCTTCAACATCCATAAACAACAGAATTCGCATGTACTAGCAATTACATTTAATTGCAAGATAGGCAAGATACTCAACAGTAACTGATAAGTCACAGTTCCACTCGATCCACTTTTGTTTTTGAAACAATTGAGTGCTTACACAAGTAGCACATCATGAGTTGTTAGAGTATAGTGAGTATATACCTGTAGTTTCCATCTTAGCGATTCGATTTACACAATCACTGACATGTACAATATTCTACCAAAATGTCTTCTGCATCTCATTCTGATTGGCTCAAAGTACCAGTAGTATCATGCATTATAAGAAATAGAATGTGTTAAACTTCAATAATTGTCTTTTTATACAACTTAAATTAAAAGGTTTCTTTAATGACTGCAATCTTCAGTCAGAAGTCATCTAAGTCCTCAATATCTTCAACTGACTCACTGAAATACATGCATACAGAAAATAGCATTTTGAACAATATGCAATAATAATAGTAATAATAAATGCAGAAATACTCATTTTAACAACTTGTTCATCAATTAGTATTCTGATTGTCTGCACATATTTGTTATCACTCATAAATTAAAAAAAATAATATAAATTTCAAACTTGAATACAAATACATGAATGTATGTAAAAAAAATTGGCTACAATTGGCTAAAATAAGCTTTGGTATTGTTCAAAGAAGTACATATGTAGCACTTGATCCACCGTCTGCTATTCAGGATTGTCTGACATCTGTTATGACATTGTAAGTAGCATGCTCTAGATGACGTGCATACCTTTCCACATAAGGAAGATTGTGTGGTCCCTTTGCATCATAATTCTCTAGGAATTGTTTCTCCAACATATGAGGTTTAAATTTCTTTAGCCAATAAGTTTCACACTGGATCACTTCGCCCACTGATGGCACATACCCAGATTCCAATCCAGTCCTTTCAGTTAAAAACTCAATGTTAATTCTATCTCGTTCATAGAAATTTGGGTGGCCTTCAAAGTCATCTAGGAATGCCTTCATTTTGTCGTCTATTTCATGTACTTCTCCTAATACCCTCTGAAATGAGTTAATGGAAGTCTAATTTGAAATTATATCAGCATTTCTGATAGTAGAAAGGGCAGCATATGTAGTAAGAGGCATAAAATATTTTTCTCTTACTATTATAATAGTAACTAATTAAGCTCCTCTTTCTTTCTCGCAACACAAAGCTCCCACTATTTCATATATAGTATAAGTCTACTGGTACTTAACTTGAGAACATTTTTAAGTAAACCATTTTACAAATACTTATACTATGATCCTGATATTTCATACATAATCCTGTAGGATGATTCAAAATGTCAAACAAAATGCCCACTTCTGTACCAAAACTCGTTCAGTATACAGATATGTCGAGTACTTGGTAAATTAATGTTAGTTAAAAGATAAAGAGCACAGAGTGCAAGCATGGTTCAACGTGCTATATATCAATAAAGAAACCATAACCACAACCCATGCTGTTTTGAAACATAATTACATATATATAGGACAATAAGTTTGGATGTGATTATATCATTATGTCACTAGTTGTGAATCATAATGACTTTCAATTTTCCTGAAATATGCATCTTTAACTTTTTGCTAGCAGAAAAAGAGCAATGTTATACAGAAGAATTAGTAGTCCATGTTGGTACCACAAGTAAATTTTGGAACATGAAACTTTGCCAGTACGTAGTTGGCCTATTTGGAAAACAAATCGTTACCATGCAATTTTTTTTCTTTCTTTTTATTTTTTGGTGAAAATCAATGTGTCATGCAAGCATAATGAAACAAGTTTATTAATATTCATGCTGCATTACATGGTAAGTAAATGTGATTACAAAAAGTAATATTCTTTGTGACTTTCTTTGTGACTTTCCTAAATAAACACATCAGTATCTTGTTGTCTGACAAAAATCCTAAGCCATCTCTTTTATTTCATTTTTGAGGTTTATCATTGGATCTGCAGACTCAGGATGTGTAGCGTCAATACAAAACTCCAAACCGTGCTCTCCCTTGGAACTATAATTACTCAAAAATGGCAACTCTAACAAATGTGGTTTGAACTTCTCTAAAATATACACCCAACACAAAACGTCTGTATCAGGCCTTCCCAACTACCAGACTCGGTACCTACGGGTCCAGTATAAACCGGTTTATCAGACCACACTACCCGTTTTCAAGGTGTGTGTCAGATCGCATTACAGAGNTGTATCGTTTCCAAAATCATCATCTTTATCTTTTAAAATGTATACTGGGATTTTTATTCTGTTGTAAAATTTTGGATATTCTTCTAAAAGGTCCAACTCCTTCATTTTTTCATCATCAACATCATACACCTCTCCAATGACAAGCTGAAAATGGAAAAAAATACAAAGATACCTATCAAAAGAGTGGAAATAAAAGGTTTGTCAGCTTATGGACAGCTGTGAAAAAAATTGTACATTTCAGATTTGAAGAAAAAAAATAAAAGTGTCATAAACTCATTACCGCTGTCTTTTTTTTTTTCAAATACTAGTACTTTAAACAAAGAAATATCATTAAAATTTAAACAGCTGATATCACAAAGTTTAACACCAAGCCTATCAACCACATAGAAATAGGTAAAAACAAAGGGCAAATAAACAAAAGCAGATGGACCATATCTGTTAGTGTTTGAAAGCCATTTTCCAGCACAAAATATTCATGCAAAGTCATGCTGTAAGCAGTGGGATCATTTTGCTGATAAAAATGGTTGTTAGGTATTAGTGAGCACAAAATCCACCACCTTTAACCAACAAGAAGAGAACAGTTTTATAAGCTACAAAGTACCCAGATATTAAAAGTGAGAGCCTCAAGGACTTTTATACCTTGGGTAACTTTTCAGTAATTTTATGGTTTTATCAAATACACCCAAGCAGCTCTTAAAATGTCTTTTAAATGTCCTTTAAAATGTATTTTAGAAAATGTTTTCACGTTAAGTGTTTCTTAGAAATACCATTTTAGTAATATAGTTACTAACTTACTAGTACTTTTTAGTTGCAAAAAAATATTATTAATATTGTATCTATGAGATCAAGTCAAAGTTATAATCAGTTTTTAAGAGAAATTCTACATCAGACTCTGATCCTCAGGATGATGGGTGGTTTACAGGTAAAGGAAGTATTTATTTCTTTTTATTTCCTTCTTTGTTTGTTTCTTTCTTATTTCAGGGGTGGGGGGTGGAGGTAAAGCATAACAGTAGAGACACAGTGCCTCATGAAAAGATATCTTCATTCCACCTACAGTATCTTTTACTCCTAGTTATTAATTTTAACCTCATCTTGTTTGTTAATCATGATTCAATCAAAACACTGTATCCAAACCCCATTATTTTCCAATTCGCCATAATTTTTTTAAAATCTTGATTGCTCTTGGGAATGAGCCCCTCATAAGTGTGATCTTCAATATATTATTATTATTATTATTATTATTATTATTATTATTATTATTATTACTTTGATTATGACTATAGTACTACATGTAACATTGCTAGTATCTCAATTTAATTTACTTTTAAATTCATTTTCAATCAGAATTTATTTAAATTTAATTAAATGTTTTGAACATCTGACAAATTTTACTTTTCAGACACGTAATACTTCCACTTTACTTTTATAAAATTATTTAAACATTAAGCTATTTCAATTTTCATCACCCCATACCATACCTGCCCTTTGCCCTTGCAATGAAGTAGAAACGGGATGTTGTACTTGGAAGCAATAACCAGTGGCCATGATTCTGTCGTTTTTCCTTCTCCAACGAATTTTGCTGTCCCATTTTCAGTATTAGTCATAACATGGTGGTTAGGTTCACCTCTTTTAAGCGTCCCATAAACGAAAACACGATGTAAAGTTAGGGAGGCCATACCCTACTCCAAAGCCAAAAGTAGGCCACTTTTATCTCCGCACTTATAGAGGTATTTTATCAAATCAATTCATCACATTTTCAACCAGCCCTAAGTGAGCATTGACCTAGATCTAAAGTGAAACGAAGAACTGTAGAAGCGACAGGTACGTGACATTCGTATACCTCGTGCAAAACTTGAATTACACAAGCACTCTTTTCAATTTTTATTTATGATATTTCCAGGATAGTCATCCTGCCAAATAATTGAGAAATTCCTGAAAAAATCCCACCCAAAATGACTGCCGAATTAGAATGGAGGAGGACGTGGACACCGACATTAACTTCCAAGCCATGGAGGCGAATCAATTTCAGTGATCACGAATCTCTATTCTTTGTGAAGTGTAACTTCCAAGACAACACGTACGAGATATGTCTGACAGACTTGAAGAATGCTTGGTATGAGTACGTGGAAGAGGAGGATTTCAAGAAACGAGTTGAGGTGGGATTCCTGTTATGATATTGGGTTAATAATGGCATTTGGTGATATGGTATGCGATATGGCTATGTGAAAGGATGGGGGGGGGGGGGGGGGGTTTCAGAATGGGCATGGGAGCAACGGATATTTGCATAGACTATTTCTTAAAGGATTGAATACATACTGTACATATGATTTATTATAATCCGCAGTAATGGTAAATGTGTCCGGAGCATTGAGTATTAGCTTGGATTATCAATATGACAACAAATGAAATATATCTAAGGTCCAAATTTGCCAAACATACACAGTAAGCTGCTTGTTTAGTGTAACATGTGGATCTGAAATTTTTAGCACTTACTATGTGAGTGTGTTATAAATAAGAAAATGTGTACACTTATTAAAGACTAATTTTAAGTATTTTATTAATTGCAGAAGGGAATATTGTCCTCCTTTGATAGGCAGATTTTGATAGATTTAATTTTTTTAACTGTTGAAAAGGGCAGATAATAGATATGGTATTTATAACCTATTTTAAGTGACATTTTGTTTTAATGTCCTAATGTGAACATATCCATCAAAAAATCTTTTTTCCTAATGTGTGTGTAATTGTGAAACATAAAAATTGTATCTTCATCTTTTATCCTTTTGAGTGTTTGGATACATAAAAGGCACTGTTTATGGTGAATCAAGGCGTTCTTCTTTTTTTCACTTTATAAGTAAGAGCTTTATATCTTTTATTAAAATTATCACTATTCTCCAAGTAATGATTATGTTTCATTTTCTGAATTGATTTATTTTCACATTTCACTTTCAGGATAATTTTCAGCCAAGGACTGTGAATAAAACCCACTCTTATATTGCCATGTTTCTGTTTCACCCTCCATGTTAAATATGTATTTCAAACACTCCAAAATAGCATAATTTACAGTGCTATTGCATTGCCCGCCGAGCCCCTTAAGAATAACACACCACTGAACTCCTATGACATCGACTTTAAGTTTACATCAGGATACCCTGTCCTTATTAAGAACTATGATCCTTTCACCCTCATGTTCACATGCCCCTTATGCTCCTTATGAAAAGACAGATAAAAGGTACAGCTTTACCAGAGCCCTGTGTAGATGTAAGTTATTGTTATGAGTGGTAGCATTAACAATTGATAACAAAGTTTTATTGTTTGTAATGTGTTTTGTACATGACAAGAAGTTTGAGATCAGTGTATTTTTTTTCTTTTAAGATGTCATTTCTTCTGCAGAAATTAAACATTTACAAAACCAAGATAAAATAGATAAAGAAATAAATATTTCGATCTCAAATTGGTGAAATAAGATGTTGAACTTAAGATTCTTATCGACTGTCAGATGTGGCATTAAGGCTGCATTGAGAACAGTGGAGTAACTAGTCTGCAGATCAAATATGGTGACCCACTCAAAAGCTTGCCATCTAATCCTCTAATAGACAGTGAAAAGAATCCCCATGGGGATTGCGCAACAAGTATGCAAGCTTGTCGGCCGTATTTGATCTTTGGACTGTTGTGAATGTAACCTATGTGTATTACATTTGCAGAAGATGCGACATCAGCATAATATGGATAAAAGCAGTGATATGCAGTGTCCTTTCCCTTTAAAACCTTCAGTAAAGACAACACTAAAGATTAAAAAAAAATGTTCTATGCATATTATCATTATTAAATGCAATTTATGTTTGGCAATGTATGGATTAAATTGTCCATTCGAAATTACTGAGATTTATCAAATAGTTGGAAAGACTCCCCTTAAAAAACGTCCCCAACAGTAAACAGTGTACACCCATAATTGCCTTTGATTGTGTACATCTTGTCTTTGGCAAAAATGATAAATTCACAGTCTTTATTATTACAGGCCATTTCTTTTGTTTTATGATACGACCATAATAGAGCATACTCTGATGTAGATTTACATTTAAAAGTTTAAAATAAATCATATTAATAAATTAGAATTTCATCTTTTCTGGGCTTCCATAAGAGCTTCCTGACTCACACACGTCCTTGAATTCAGACAAATGTCTCAGTTGTACTGGTATCTGTAGCTTGTGCTTTTAAAGCAAAAAAGATGACATTTTGATTTATTGATGACCATATTATTGTCCATAGAATATATCCATATCAAATTATGACATTTAAAATTTCAACATAAATTACATATTTCATTAAAAGAAATTAAAGTAACTCCAAAAGCTCTGCCCACCATTTTTACACCTTAATTTGTGTTGGTTGCTAAAAGAAAATGAGTGATGAACAGCATGCAATTGTATCGGCAAGAAAATAATTATTGAAATTATGAATTTTTAGAAGCTGAATCCTAACATGGAAGCTCCAGTGGAAACTCTGTTGGAGCATATCAGAACCAGTATGGAGGATGATAAGGAAGGGACAAAATATGCTATCAGTGAGTCATTGTACTGCCCATGTCTGTTTATAATAGTGATGCAGGCTACAGCTCTCTCTCTCTCTCTCTCTCTCTCTCTCTCTCTCTCTCTCTCTCTCTCTCTCTCTCTTTGTCAAACTATCCTCACAAATTTTATTATGAAAATTTTCTTATTCATTATGATATTATTCCTCTTAAGAACTGTCTATAATATTTAACATGACATTGAATCCATCACAAAAAGAAACTTTTATTTTGGAAAACTGAATAATATTTTCTAAGACTAGTTAATGCTTTTCAGATGTTTACAAAACTGTATTTATGAATTAAATTTGACAGATTTCAAATTAGAATGTCAAGAAGGCAAGACGATGAATCCATGTGATAAATAACAGAGGTTAAATTGAAATCCCCCCTCCTCCCAATGTATTTGTTATTAAGGCATAATTTTTACACATGAAATGACTATTTTTCTTTTCTGTTCCGTAACATTGTAAATAAAAAAGGGATGACTGACCATCACATTGAAAGAAAGAGATAACAGCTGATTTATAGTTTTCTGACCTGTCTTTTCTTTTCCCAGGTTTTGTGCGGCCCCTGTTCAGCATGGGAGATGGAGATGGCTCCAAGGTTTTACTGACATTAAGTGGACTGCTGGAAGGTGTTCCCTTTGTTTGGAAATTCCACCTTCAGTCTGCCCACAGAGATTTGGTAAGTAGCACAATATTTGTTTGCCTGGCGCATTTTTAGGCATCTGTGTAAAATTAGGTTTTGATTTGAGTTTTCCGAACTATGACACATGAGCATTTTTGCTTAGGTTGACTTATTGTCCATTTTAATACCCATATTATAATATAGCTATGACTAATTGTTATTAAATTATAAATGGGATAAATGGCAATTGCTGAATAATTTTAAAGGGCATATTGATAGAATAAAAAAGTACATATTTTAAATGTTGAGGACTAGATAACATATTAAAGCCCCTGTTAGTTTTAGTTATCAGTTTATTTATTATTTTTAAATTATTTAGTATATTTTTTAAAAATTTTTCATAACATGCAGGATTAAGTAAGATAAATGTAGTTTAGCCATTGTTTGTTTCCCATTTTCTAGTTCTATGATCACATGACCAAGTCTTTGCTCACCATGGTAACAGAACTAATGAGAAGGCAGGAGGAACTGGTGCAGGTGATCAAAAGTAAAGACAAGGAAATAGAAGATTACAAGACACAGGGTGTCAGGACATCTAGAAGTAAGTATGAGCTTTATGCTTAAATGATTTCATTATGATTCTGAACGTTGAACAGAAGTGAAATCATTTACAGCCATTTCTTTTTATTCATAAATCAAAGGAACATGCTTCTGTCCTTCATTGTAGTCATTGATTTCACTGCCAGGGACAAAGGTGTTTGAAAACTGTTTCCTAAACTGATTTAAATTATTAAAATGCCTTTGATTCCACATCTGTATATTATTTTAATGTTATTGCCAGTGGTGGTTCAATGTGTGATATTTACTTTCAGAGCATATAGAGACAGCCCCTTTTGATGAAACAGCATTTTTGAATAATATGGTAAACTCCCAGGTATGAATGCCAAGTATTTTGTATTTTTTAAAAAATTCTTTGCTGCATCTTGAGTTGTATCCTGAAACAAAATAATTGCTGTTTGTTACATTATAAAATGTCCTTTTACCATTTTAACTAAAGGTAAATGAATAATCACTATCTAATGTCTAGGTGTAATCAAGTCACAGTTACCCTATTGGAGTGTAATTTAACAGGCTGGGTAGATTTGAAACTGTTGAACAATGTTCATGTTGAAGTTGGGACAACACATTTCCAAACTTTCATTTGTCTCAATTTTCCAGGGATTTGAAGACACAGCCACATCATTTTTGGAGAAAGTGTTCACTGGACCTTCAGATTCAGGGTTGCGGCAACTATACAGAGATATTGCAGTTAAACAGGCATGGCTTGAAAGACCAACAGAAACTAAAGAAGATGGTAATAATTTCTCCATTGTCAATGCAGAAACGAAAACAAAAAAAAATCTTATAGTAATAATAATTACCCTACAATTTCATGATCTTTGATCTGCAAGCTTCAAAACTGCACACTGATGGAAAGTGAAACCTGAGGCACGACCCCATTAAGTTGTTTCATTGCAAAATAGCACCATGATTCTTACTTATAATTTTGAGATGGGGTCTTCCTGTGAAAAGATAAATAGATTCCCATCAAAATTCATATAAGTGTGGAGCAACAGATTCTGTTTGTTTACTTTATGAAATATTTAGTTATTTATGTACAAATGAAACAAATGATTTTCACATTTTGAGATATTTTTGCAACTGCTTACAGATGAGGAAGAAAATTTTGCAGAGGATACATTTGACAATAATATGGAGACGGCAGGAGATGACATTTCTGGTGCTGCACAGTCTTTTGGAGACAAACGCCTTCCGCCATCTTTGATGGGCGAGGGGTGGCAGAGAAAGAGCCCTGCAAAATCAGATGGCAAGCAAAGTACGGAGACAACACCAGTAAAGGTTTGTGATTGGTTATTTATTATATGGATTAGGCATTGTTATATATTTATTCTGTAGATTTAAAAATGTATACTTTCATTTCATTTTAAATTTTCTATTAAAGTACAGTGACTGTCTTTGAATTATCAGTAAAGACGTGTTTCATTATAAGTTATATAATGGTAGAAAAATTAAGTTCAAATTGAAACAGTAGACTGAAGTATTTTTGAAAATAATGTTTGTATTTCAAAGACAAAGTTGAGATGCTAAAATAAAGGAATGATGTTTTTTATTCATCACTGAAATCATGGTATCCTTTTTCTGATTAAATGATTTTTTCTGTAGTACTAAATTTGGTATTTTAGGACGCGGAACAAATGAGACGAGAAGCCCTTGAGAGGCGACTGGCAGAGGAAGAAGAAAAGAAAGAAGAGAAGACCAAAAAGAAGAAAAAATTAGGACTGTGATATTATATTGGTGTTGATTTTAGTTTTTATTATAATTTTAATGGGAAATTTATGACTTTACTCAATTTTCAAAAAGGCTGGTTAATCATTATATTTATTTTATTTTTTTTCTGTTAATAACAATTACTTATTTTCTTCTAAGCCTTTAGTTGTTCTTCTTAAACTCATCAGTAAAAATCTAAATATTGGATTAATGGTGTCTTTAAGTTTGTATATTTTGATAAGTTGTCTAGAGAACAGAATGACATACAATGGTAAAGCCATGGAGCTGCAAAAGTTCCATTTCCAGCAACAAATATGAAACTTCTCCATCTTGCATTCCATTGTGTAGCATGCTTTAGACCTTTTCACATAGACTGTTATAATGTCCCCTGTGTAGTGGCATGTTTTAAGAGGTTGACAGCTTCAGAGATGAACTATTATGTAAAAGACTGAGCCTCCAAAATCAGCACTGCCAATTGATTCGGATTGAAAGATACAGGCTTCCAGGCATTAGCAAACTTAGGAAATTACATGGTAAAACCTCTCAACACAACACGACAAATGGGACACTAAGATAGTGTTGGATTAGTTTCATGGCTACATTAAATATTCTTACTGGTTAACCTTCAAACAAGTAATTATTCCTATTATTTACTTCCAAACTTTGTACTCATTCATTAAAATATCTTTATTTTGCATGTATTTAGAATGATGTCCTTTTTAAGTGTCCGCTGTCATGCTGTTGTATCTCATAGAATCCCATTAAGCCATTTCTTCTGTGTACTGAATTGCAGATTGTCTCATGGCAAATATAATTACAAATTTTGCTTAGGTATGTTTTCCCATTGTCTCTACAGTGCTGTATTGTTAAGTTCACTCATATGCAATGTCTTATCTGCAATTTTATTCAATACATTTTTGTATATTGTTTGTGATGAATTATGTTTTGAGTAATATGAGTCTTTTTACAATTTTTTTCTTAATTTTTTGAGAAGTGTGGAAATAACTTCGTTGGTGAGTGATGCCAACCTGGCACTCTTAGCTCAATTAACAAATAGTTTCAGTCTGTATATAATTTGTTGAGTATGAGGATTATGATCATACATTATTATCAAGTCATTTTATATTATATATAGCTTGAATTATGTAACTGAAAAAATTACAAAACGATTGTGCATTCTCTGTAAATGTATTAACCATGCCTATTACAGAGATCTTTATTTGTTATGGATCATGAATTGGGCTCAGTTGTGAATTAAATATTAATTATTAAAATTGCTGTTTTGGTCTTTTTTCATTATGTAGGGTTGAAGAAATGATTGAGGGTGCATTATAGCACCATTCACGGTTTTAGGGTTTGAAACAATATCTCTATTTTGCGCATCTCAATTTCTTGTGTCTGAACATTCTACAAAAAAAGATTAATATTTTTTACTTGTATCATCACACATTTCACTTAGCAAAACACCAATTCTTTCACAAAGCCTTTTAATTACTTGAAAACGATTTCTAGTTATGATGGTTTATAAAGTATCTGAAAAATCTGGTGCCAATTTCTGCATTTACTTCTGCTCCTTACAGCCCAACATACAATGAACGTTTTTCTTTCAGCTGTTACCACAAGCTTATTCTGTGTGTATTTCTAGATACTGATTAGCAATCCCAGTAATTTCCTATGCAACATTTTCACCACCATGGCGCTGTGGTTAAGCTCTGTTTACAGTACTTTAACACGTCCATGTCTCGAAGTCTGAAAAACCTGCACAGCGTTATCTTCCCGTTTTTAAGTCATACATTTCAACACTGGATGAGATCCGACATTCTACCAGTCAAAATATACACAATAGACCGCACTTTACCAGTCAGATGAGTCCCACTTTTTATGCAATTGCCCCTAGGTAGTCCTTCACTTCTGTAGGGTTCAGCCTCCTGAATCCATCTTGATTACATATTCCTATTTCGATGTTATCCTCCGTCATTTGACCCTCAAAACTCTCCTTCAATGTCAAGATGGCCGTATGCACTGCATCTTCCAGTTCGAGATCTTCACTATATCTGAGGAAAGAGAAAAAAGGGGATATGGCAGAACCAATATGAACAGTTTGTATAATATAACAAGAATAACCGCAGAAATTCTTCAGGAGTTAATTTTTTTGTAAACAATCACTTAATTAAATTAACAGAAAAGGTTCCATCACAATATACTGTCCAAAAATGTTCAACTTTGACTTTTAAGTTATAACACCAAATATATTACTTGACACAATTGTAGTGCAATCAGATGTTCTTACATAATTATTCATTTTTACTATTGAAAAAAAGGCATAATTGTAGTCTTACCTCTTTTCTAGGAAAGTCTTGCCGTTTATATAATTCTTTCCCATAGCAGTGGCTTTCCATGCAAAATAAGCTCCCTAAAATGTGAACTTGTGAAGTTAAATAAGGATTAAGAAGGGATTAAAGTAATTTTTGTAGCCAGATGTCCTCCATATCCTCCACTTTTCCATAAAGTTTAGCAGTTCTACAAGCTATGCCTGGGTCTTTTAAGTATTGCCCAGTCCTGAAATGTTCCCACCTCCCTGGGGAGCACACAAACTTAACACATCAGTGTGTTTCATTTAAAATCTTGAAAATTTTTACACAGATCCTCATAAAACAACTGAGAATTTCCAATTGCTCTAAACAGACTGTATATATTATATTATATTATATTATATTATATTATATTATATTATATTATATTATATTATTAAAGTCTATTTGAGAAGGAATTTAAAATGTTTTAGTGAGTAGGACAGGCCCATTGCCTGAGAAAAGGACAGATGTCTTGTACTTACAGATGGATCACACTGATACAGATATGGCCTCTCTTCATCCTCGTCCCAACCAGCTATAAGGAGAGACACTCCAAATGGACGAACACCACTGTAAGAATGAGAAAGGGAGATTTTAAAATTATTATCCGTCGAAATGTAAAAAATTGCTTTTTTTCTCAGTTTAGTAGAATGAACTGATGAACACCAAGGGATACAATTACACATACTGGGCTCCAAATGCAGAGCCGATTTTCATTATGTTGATATCTATGTGAGCTTAAGAGAAAAATATCTCACAAAATAATAACAACAATGCAACCCAAGTGTTGGGTAAAAAGTCCAATGTATATAATTCTCCTAAGCTGCTTTTTACCATAATTATGATACGGTAGTAACACAATGAAAAATGTATAAAACAATTTTTTAGAAAATTAGAAATTTGTTAATAAAGTTATATACTACTTAACTAACTCACCCTGACTGTGTATATTCCTGCATAACGTTAGCTATCCTTTGTACCATTTGGAGTGTTGGGATTTGTTCTTGGTATGTTAAGAAGTACTGCTGGGCTAGTTTGCGTGCATTTCTGACCAGAACTCTGAAATAAAAATTACAAAAATAAAATATCAAAGTGTGTAAAATGCAAATATTGAATTAATGTTCCTGTGAAAATGCTGGAGACTTAACGAAACTTCATTAAACAATATTAAATATGTTTTGAATTTCAAATAATACAAATTTGTCATAAAAGTTATTAGATAGCAAAAAGTGACTTAACCATAAAATAAGATGCCATAACTTTGCTATATTTATAAATTTATCAATAGTTAGCCCATCACACAATTAATAAAGCTCAGTATCATGTACCTATAATCTGGCCCCATGCCACTGTATACAATGCCTATATTTTTGGTGATGAGTTCCACTTTGTGAATGCTATGTTCATCATACAGTACTGACTTGTGTTTCTTTTCAGAGGCCAGGACAACTCCATTTGTTGCTAAAACATGCAGAAATAAAATAAAAGTAACATTTAATAACACATATTTAAAAGAGTTGTTCACATTGATATAACATGTACAACAAAAAGCCATCTAATTACAGATCAAAACTGCTTTTACATTTAGAGTAATCATCTACTATAAAATACCAGAATTTTGGAGAAGACTATTTTAAACACATTTATTCAATAAATTTTGAAAGAAAAAAAGAGAATTATTTTCAAGTTTCAATGCTGAAAAGAGCATTAATTTCAGTTTGATCAAATTTACCTTTAATTCCTACTGACGGCGCTCCTGCTGCTACAGCTGCCAATGCATATTCTATCTGCACCAACTTCCCAGAAGGGCTGAAAACCAGAATTATATGTGAGGATATAAATAGTTGCATGTTATACAGCGTACATCGGGACTTCATCAACTTAAGAATGGACACAAATTTATTTTCGTTAAATGTCAAATTATAAAAATAAATAATAAAAGTAAGACAGTGATGACCTGACTAAATGTCTACTTAAAAGAAGTAGTCTATCTCCACTTTAAATGAGCTTAAACAAAGGTGAAAATGCAAGAAACTCTTGAATTTTTGCAAATCATTCAGTTTTCTTACACTGCATTCGTGTCTTGTCGTCTAACAATTTTGTCGTTTCAGTCACTATGATTTTGTTTTAGCTATGGAGTACCAAATGTTGAAACGTTTTGTTACTTCTTACGTATCATGAGAATTACAATGCATCTGCATCATACCTGAATGTTGTTAAAGAAAAGCTATATCGTTCTGTCATGCTGCCGGCTTCTTGTTGCTCTGTGTTTTTCTGATAACGAGGCTTCTCATACCCAATAAATCGCAGCTTTTGATTTGCTACTTCAAAATTAGGTCATACATTTATTTGATACATATTTTGTAGTTTGATCAAAATATGGTAAATATTGTATATCACCTTTCACTATTTTCTTAGATATTAAGTATTGAAATTGATACCTAAACTGATTTAAAGGTGAATAGGCCATTAATAAACCCAAAAACCATTTGTGACCTATATAAAAACCAGTCCAATGAAATTCCCTTTCTTATGCAATGTGAATTCTTTTTCAACACTTCCAAAATGGCGACAGCCATGCTGCTGAAGTGTCATGCTGCACTGCAAAGGTTTGAAACTCAGCTCATAAGAACAGTCCAGACAGTACTTTGGCGAGGTAATTATTTTCATTACCTTTTAAGCAAGTGATGCATTCACAACACTGTATGTTTTAACGACGAGAGCGGCTCTGTGAGCTAGCGTGGAATGGGGGGGGGGGGGGGTCTGTGAAAGTGTAATCTTTAGTCTGTAAAATGGCACATTTTATTCCCAGAAAAGTGTTGAGAAGAGAAATATGTCCATTTTTGCATGTTAATTAATTGTTTCAAAGTAGCCGTATCCTAATATGCTCATTGATTACTTGATAACGTTTTAATGAAAATTAATAAGCTAGTGCATAAAAATTATCCCTAAATTTGATACATGTCATGTGCTCTTTTATTTTTCATTTATCGTTACAATTTTTAGGTGTTTTTTAAAAAGTGGGAGTGCTCGTATTAATGCACATATCATTGTAATGTTCAATGTAGGGCCACCACCTGCCTTTGCCATGGCAGGCATGGAAACAACACAAGAAAGGAATGATGGGTCCTCAGGTCTTGACTGGGATGGTCTTTGTTGGGCAGCAGTTCCCAAAAAGAGGAGGTCCATTGAGCGTAGGATGACAAGAAGAATGCAAATACCCAAACACTATGAAAATGCCCTGCCTAAAAAGCATATTGTGCCATGCCTCACCTGTGGTCACTGGCATGAAAGAAGCACTATTTGTGGTAAGTCTTACACCAAGACTATGACCTCATTCCCAATGAAACTAGCATTCTGTGTAGATTAACTCTCGATAAATGCAGTCAGATTAACACACCACCTCCTTAGGTTGAGTAGAATACAGAATAGCTGGTGATTATATGAGTATGTTGAAAGCAAAAGGAGGCATGTTTGTATACTTAGCACACATTCAAAGAGTAAGTAGGTGTTATTGTATTAGATGATTTTTTAATTATTATTTTACTGAGGAAAAACGGAATGGGATTACCATTTAAATATTTATATATTTAAATATAAATAAAACGTACATAAGTTGCCACAAAAAGTAACCTATAATTGGTGAGAATAATACATGTGCAAAATGTAGAAAATGCCATTGAAACAGATTATTATTGTTATTGACTTTCTAAATGATTATTCAATTTTTTTACAGGCAATTGCTATGAAAGAGTCAAGAAAGAGACTGCAGCAATTCGTGATGCCATGCCCGAGGAGTGGAACTATAAGGCTCCAAGAGGAGAAATAGCGCTCATTTATGATGGGGAGGAAGACCAGAGACCTATGTATGAAGGGAAATATGTAGTAGAAGTTAAAAAGGAGAGACCCTTGTGGTTTTCTAAAAACTTACTTATAAAAGCTAGAAGCTGATGAAAAGGGAATGAGAGATCTTTGAACTTTTCTATAAAGGAGACACAGAGGAAGATGGAGGACATAGAGGAAGACCTAACTCGGAGTCCTTTATACAAAGAATATAAATATATATGTATGTAGCAGAAGTTGAGGAGATCTTGGACTATGATTTTCCAAAAACTCATTTTGAATGTAAAAAGCAGATGTAGAGCAAAAGTGAGTGACAATACTCTTGCTTTTCTGTAAACAATATTGTTACAGTAGGAATATGAAACTAATAAAAAGATGCATGTTGAACATTTTAAACTACAAGTGCATTCATGTAGTAACAAGACAATTAAAGGGGGGGGGGGTGGCAGGTTTAGCAATTAAAGAAAAGTCGAATAATGTACTTCTGCTCAACAGTTGTTAACCCTGTGTGACGGGGCACTGTAGAGTTTACATGTTCACTGTACCTTCTTTCTATCCATGGGTAAGCTTTATTCTGATGTGGTTTATGTAAGAAATCAAGATTAAGCTGGCAATGCCGAAATCTGGGACCTAGGGTACAGTTGTATTACAGAGCTGAGCAGGCTTTTTAAAATAGATTTAAAATGTGTTTTGTTTGTGATATATAAGACTCATCCTATCAGAATTTTATTTGTAAATGCAAAATTAGATGAGGGATTCTCCAATAAAGCAAATTATCCAAACAACTGTAAAGATGTATTGTGGACATTTAAGGTTAAATAATTGTTCAAATATGACTTACTAATAAAAAACTTAATGATTAAAAAAATTGTTTTCAAAGTGATGTGAAGTGTGACTTCCATCAAAGTGAAAACCGCAGAAAAGTTGTTTTTGATTATTCTAATAATTCTTAAAATGAGCATCAAATAGAATTTAATGTATAGTAGCATTACACAGTACTTAGGGCAGTTAATTTTGTTGAAATATACTAAAGAAACCCAGGGATGGGATTGGGGGTTTATGGTTGAAGTGGTTGCTATAAATTATATTATAACAAAACTGCCTTTGCTTGTCTTGAATATAAAACCAAATCTCCAAACGCAGAAGAGTTAGGCCGATATGTCAACACACGGGAGCATCGTCCGTGACATAATCAAATTCAACAGTTACACTTCTTCCAGAGACAAAATATACAGGTGAAATGCTTTTGGTGATAGTGTTTTAATTTCGACACCATTGTCATTTTGATCACAGTAGTTTGTGTTTATAAAATCAGCTTGCCGGCTGCACTGCGGTGTTCAGGAAGTCAGTTACTATTAATAATGCCTGATGGAGTAATGTACAGATAACAGCAGGTCTCCTTACTTTTTGAACCGATGCACGTTTGTCATAGACAAAGGCTCTAAGAAACGTGGGTGTGACATAACATCATGATCACTGAAAAGCAGATTAAAACGTTTAGTTATAACATTCATGTCTTGAAATTACAGTCACTAGTAATATTGAAGTTATCGGGGGCGTCTCGATAGTCCAAAGGTTCATTGGTCCGAAAATTGGTAACATTTTTATCGGGTTTTTAATCAAGGGTTCATTGGTCCGAAGGTTTTATAGTGAGCATTCGGACCAATGAACCTTTGGACTATTGAACATTCGGACTATTAGTATTGCTACGGTCCCATATAGTTATCATCAAAGAAGAGTAAGATGGTTTGTTCAACATATACCTGTGCAAAGGTATCTACAAAAAACATAGGACAGACTTTGATCTCTTTGCTCACTGCAAAATGTATAAACCATTTGTTTGCTTTTTTTTTTTTTTTGCAATGTGTGTGTGTGAGAGAGAGAGAGAGAGAGAGAGAGAGAGAGAGAGAGAGAGAGAGAGAAGGTTTGTGGCATAATTATGTAATAATTTTATCTGCACTGGTATGTTGGAGCTCTGTCAACTGCTGACTGAGCGTGTTACTACCTGTGCCCTTGGGACATCTACTAATACAGTACTGTACGTACTACACGTTTCACAAATGTTAATTATCTTCATTAATATTTGGAGGAAAAAAATATTTACATCATTTCCTATATCACCCCCAAAATAAATGAATGAATAAACCATTGAAGAAAAAAAGAAAGAAAAAAGAAAGGAAAGAAAGAACAAAGATTCGTTGAAAGATTTAAAAGAATAAAATGTGAAAAGGTACTTGTCATTATGATCACCCTTACATACATATATGTATATATTTCAAATTGAACATAATTATTAATAATGATAAACTTTCTGGTTCACTTTATAGAATTTGCCAATATGCATCTAGACTGGTTCTATGGTATATGGCAAGGCAGGGAAAGACTGCAGGGGATCTACAGGAATGGTTTCAAAAACTAGAGGCTGCTATGACCACGTCCAGAAAGTGTAAGTTTCCTCGTACTCCAATAAAACTGAGTACTGTATTAATAATAATACTGTGACTTCTCCCTTTAGAAATTTAATCGTTCTCTTATTAAAGATAAATCTTGTGATTCTTTTCTTTGATATAAGGTGAACTTATGAACATTGCCAAGCTTGTACAGTTTATCACTACATAACATATTGCAAAGTTCCCAATTTCAAAGTGTTGTAGTCATGTAGATTCATTCTACTGTGTGTAGTTGATTGTTTATACAAAAGTAAGGAAAATTGGAATTGCAACTGTATAGTTTTAATAGTGAAATGTTGGTCTAAGCTACAATACAAGACATACATTTTTGTTGTACTTTAATTATTAATTATTATTATTATTATTTTGTTTTTGCAAGTTATATAAAAATCCACTTCAAAACGCAAAATGCTTATGTTGTATGCTTTCCTTTTTTTCTAGTATTTAGACTTGCAACATCACTAGAATTTTTGCAGAAGGCTGTGGATGCATCCAAAGTCACAGACAATGCGTTAGTGGTGACGATACTGGGTGGGATGCTTGGCAAAGCTCTCTGGCTTCTCATCGATCACTTATTGTGGTTGGGGAAAGTCAACTTAGTGCAGGTGACTGAATTTCGAATCTATTATACGGTTACGTGATTTTAATATTGATTTCATTACATCTTGTCTTATGGATATTGATGATGGGAAGTAATCTAAAGCTACTGCTAATAGTCGGAAACGTATGATGTCTGTTTTTTCATTGTTTATAATTTTGTTGTCTGTAGATCTCATAAGATGTATTTACTTAACTTTTATTCAGCTTTACCCCCCCCCCCCCCCATCATCATTGTGTAGCATGCAACTTTGGCAGTGTTGTGAGTGGAAAGCAGTATAAGTGTAATTAACTGTCCATTTTATACTAAACATAATGACAATTTTGTGCTTACATCTATTTTGTACTTTTAGGTTGATATGAAAAAATGGTCTAGAAGAGCTTCGTGGTTTTGGCTAGTTGGTCAAATATTCCTGGTCGCCCGTGACGTGCGGAAATTACAACTGCTGATGATCCGTGCGAAAAAAATCCAAAGGCACGGCGAAGAAAACCGCGAGTCGACGGGGACTTTACGCAAAGATTTCCATACCGCTCGTTTGGAAGCGGCGAAAGACATTCTTGATATTTTGATACCGCTTTCTTCGCTTGAGTTTATCAGTAAGGGTTTTGGAGCCGGGGGAGGGCTGTTGTCATCTTTTATTGGGTTTAGATTAGAATGGGAGAAAAACGTACGGCCATATACTACAAAAGTTAAGGTGTGAGTATGGGTCTGGTAAATATTTATTTTGACTGGTTTATCAGTAAATCACTGAAGGATAAACAAGGCTACAGAGATAAGCGATCAGTCAACAAAGTTGCTGCAGTAATGATGAGAAATATGTTACCGTGAGTATTCAACGGAAAATTGGATCGATCGAAATTGATTTATAGTGCAGTAAGCATCTTGGTTGAATTATCTTTTACCTGCCGTTGCGTTATTGACGTGCAACAATTATAGTTTTTGAATACTTAGATGTTCAAGTAATAACTGTCTTTATTGAGCATTTGGCGGTGGTTTGTCCATAAAATGAAGGATAGGAAGAGATGGCTTGATAAGAATCTGTGAGCGTGATGTATGAGTTATGAAAGCTCAGATATGACGCAAACGAGCTGGCTACTAGACGAAAATATTAGTGATAATATCGAAAATATTTTGTCTGCGTCCTCTCTTCTTACGTCAGGCGCAGTGGAATCAATACACAGAATCAACGCCTGATGAACAGAGGCTATCATTTCCAATAGAAACGCTAAAACTGTATTATGTCAACGACTTTGAATGATCTCATGTTGGTTCAGATCGCAAAGTAATTATCGTTCACAGTTCTTTCAAAAAAAAGAAAAGAAAAGAAAGAAAGAAAAAGAAAAAAGCAAGAGGTATCAGGCGTAATTAGCATTAGAGAAACAAATGTGATTAATGTTAATTTCAAATATTTTGCTTGCTATATTAAATGTCTGTCAAGGTACATCGAAAAAATTAAGTTACATTTCCATATATAAAATTTTTGAAGAAAAAAATGTGTATGAGTCGTTTTCTCCATGTCGTTTTGTTCTGTTTCTAAACCAAAAGAACCGAATTACTTGTGTGAAGTTGTAATGAGCTATGGTTCATTAGCATTTTATCACTCAGTGTCATGTTCTAACCATTAGACTTCATTAGATTGAAAGATGATTGTAGTAACACACCGAAAGTCGGATAATCCCACCAATGTCGAAAAAAGAAATTCGTTAGGACTGAAAGGCAGATTGATCGGGGAAGTGTCTCGTTCTTTTGTTGTTTTTGATTAATAGAAAGGGTGAGATTGGCAGTTTTCACCAAAGGAAAGTACCGCAAACTTGATTAAAATCAATTCTATTTTAATGGATTATTTCGCTGCAAGAATTCTCACTCTGTTCAAAAACATTGAGATGATAGATGTACCACAGAAATGTTTAAAGGTCAGCGTTTTTTCTGAAACCCAAGAGAGCACACCCTAATAGGGCCCATATTTGAGGGTCTATTGAAAACTGTCCTCTTTAACCAACTCGCGTACTTAATTGTGTTGTTTCATGATAACTAATGATGACAAAATATTTTTGGACGTGGTAGAGTGACCGACGCTCGACAATTTTAAATTCTAGAGGGGCATAGGCGGATATACATGAATCTCTTTATTTTTTCCTGAGTGCATAGGCATAGGTCATGGTTCCTCAGCATATATATATATATATATATATATATATATATATATATATATATATATATATATATATACGAGGCAAATTACTCCTCTCCCTCTCTTCCGTAAACCTTTCCATTTTCCAACTTAAGCAAAACCCTGGAGTCGAAAGTAGCGGCACAGTTACATGTGGATGATGATGCTTTTTTTTTTTTTTTTTTTTTGCTTAGGAAAAAATGGGGAGCGGCATCATCAGCAATTTAGACCGCCCGCGCAGATATCTTGTCGAAGGAAGGTAAAATCATTTCCGAAACCGGTGTAAATTCTCTGCTCTGAAAAGCAGGACCACCCTCAGTTCTTCAGGAGGCAAGCATGTTATTTCCACGGACATTTTGTGTTCGGGATTGTTACACGACTAGAAAGGTGTCGGTATCGGCGGACTTATCAAAGAAACCGACATCGTACTCGAAGATGGAAATGTCCATGGTGGTGGTCAATGTATTTTGCACCTGTGTGTAGCCATGTGGTCACTTTGGTAGATTTTGTTTTGCTCCTGTAGGTTTGTGATCTCTCTGTTAATCACCAGGCAAGTCAATCTTTCACCAGACGGCGGTCAATTTTCGGTTATTTAGTACGGTTTATCTTACTGTAAGCGCGCCATTTAATGAATTATATCGTTCTTTGAGCAAAGATATAGGCAGCTATGACTTATGCCTACGGTCCGGGACATAATTTAATTTTCACCGTGGATACCCCTCATTTCCATCTTTCAGATACATGTATAACTTTTTTTTTGTAAAACGAAGAAATTTTACAGGAAAAAAATGAAGACTGCCGCTAAGCATCCACTGCATGGGTGGTAGGGCGTCATGTTAACTTCAGTTATAATGTAGAGTTGTTCCATACTCAACCCGTTTCCGCATCCTTCATTGATTTTAACGCATGAAATTCATAATCCGTGAAACGTGCATCCCTAACCTTCATAGCACCAATACAGGCAGCTAATTGTAAGCAAAGGATTTTTAAATGAAGGCATCCGGTATCGTTTTCGTGTGTAGGCACATGTTGTAAGTCTCAAAGGGAAGACCGCTGTATATCTCCGCTGTAATGTTGCCCTATGTTAAGGTAACTGTTTTTATCCCTGTATCTTTCATCTTAACTTCTGTATCCTGTACAAATGAATGTACGCAGGCATGTGATACATCTGAGAAGGATTGGTGTATCTATGGATCTACGTGTAGGACTGTCTTTTTGGTACCGATTTCCCGGTATTTTAGGCTCTTTACATGATTTATAGACTTGCAAAAAAGGAGAGAGTTGTTTGTTGATTTTGTAATGTTTTTTTCACGGTAGTGGTATTATTTATCTATTTATTCATTTATTTATTTATTTTTATATAGAAAGGATTGTCATATTTTAAGATTTTTTTTGTACTGATGAAAAAGAAAGTTTTGCACAGGGTACATTTGACATTTACACGGAAGGTAAATTTGTTCATTTGTTTATTTGCTTATTTTATCTCTTCTTTAATAGATTGTGTTTAAATTTCTTTAAGGGGGCGGGGGGTATTGCAGACGCCAATGACGAACCTATCCAAAAGCAAAGCTAGCAATTAGTAAACGCACGTTTCCTCAGAGCCGGGGAAACAAGACTTTATAGCATTTAGTTCGAGAACCCGACATACAAGTGGTTTTAATTATACCATTTCCACTATATAATATACTATCTGACCATCCTTTTTTTTTTTTTTTTTTTCAATTCATGATATCCATTTCCCATTCATTTTGATTGGCAAAAAGTTTAACATGTACCTGTGTAACCTGTGCCCTCCCCCCTCTTCCACCACCCGCGGTAACGACACCAGTTCTTGTGACCTGACCACCGTTTAACCCTCCCACTCACTTGGCTCATTGATCAACAGAACAGATACACTGTGTAAAGCTTTAGCTCAAATCATAAAAGTGCTTTAGTCCGAAAATTGGTCTCAACTTTTAGACCAAGAGCTGAGGTCTACTTTCTTTCATAATATATCCATAGTTAACCATTTAACGAACCAAGCATTGGCCTGAAAGCATATTCCATGCGTTTCTTGTTATAAAAAAGACGTAGTTTTTTTATTTCAGTGGGCTATTACTGATTATCTTGGATGAAATTAGAGTAAGATGTTCGTATGAATGTTTAAACCATTTTTGGGGCTTTTATGCTCTTTAATGAAACTGGAGCCAGAAATGTCCTGACACCCAAAAATGTGAGCTTCATACCCAGCTTAATATATAACACTTTATGATGGTTACGTGGAGAAATAATTTTTAGCATAGGTTTACACCTTCATTATTATTATTATTATTATTATTATTATTATTATTATTATTATTATTATTATTATCTCGGCAGAGCAATCAAAGCGAAAAGAGTGGTAACTGAACTCAAAATGACTCAGAAAGAAAATCGAGCTAAAACGTGGCTAAACGTGTAAACACTCGACAACACAATGAACCAACAAAACACGAGAATAATGAAAAGTGTAACTGAAACAGCCTGCAATGAGTAGCTGTTATTTAGCTGGGGTAAACATCGGGCATCATAATGAACATAACATGAAAAATGAATAAAACTGAAATTGAGATGCTTTACAAAGAACGCCGCTCCTTCTATGGACCAGACTAACTTGATATGTAGAAATGAAGACTGCAAATGGTCTTAGTTAATGCACTGTGTGAATAAAACTGTGGACTGGATAAGTGGAGGTGATAGTCTTCTTACATGTGCCAGTTACACTTGCATCAAATTGTAAAATGCAGCATGGCAAATTGGAATGTATGTTAGGGAAGTCAAATATTGTTCCACGAGAATCCGTGACCTCTTGAATTAGGCAGGGTGCCGTGATATCCTGTGATAATGATGAAATACCATGCAAAGATTCTCACCTTGACAAGATAAAAATGGTAGACGTCAGATAATAAGAAGATAAATTAAGAATGTTTGGGCAATTCGGCTTGTCCCAAATTGCTTATTTGCGTTTTTGTAAGTCTTTCATATTCTGTTGCTATATCAAATTAAAGATTAGGTAGATATTCATGCAATGCTTATCAAAGAAAAAAAAAAAAAGAAAGAAAGAAAGCGTAAAGGAATGATGTTTCAAAGGCCTTTGGCAGGAATCTCAACTACATCAACATTATTATACTTCAGCAATTGTGCACCGTGTGCAGTTTAATCCAACATGTTATATCTTATTGCAAAGAATGGAATAATTGAAGAAACCAATATCAATAAAGAAAGTTTATATGTCCAATACAATATTTTGCATGTCTAGCCACATTTAATTATTAACATATAATAATATGTGGACGTATAATTTACCTACGCGGTATGGAAACTGTCCAAAACTCAAGCACGTCGTCAATTTTTATTGCAAAGTAAATTTTGAGGCGAGAAAAATTCCGCCCGGATCTCAGTTAAGATCCTGCCAATGTTTAAACATATTACAACCGATAAGCCGTCTGGGTTTATGCAGGATTTCAGTGAATGCTTAAGTGCCACGAAAATACATACCGTAGCATAAAGCTCTTTCTTATCTACTTCAATCTTAACTCCAGGCAGATTTGACAAACAGCTTATTTTGTTTTATGTTGTTTTTATTTGGAGGAGAGAGGAGATGACAGAAAGACCTACAATGAATTGGAACCTGTACAACATGCATGTGTATTTTCACCAAAAAGATGAAATAGGCAAAAAAGGGGAGGGGTGGGGGGTTAAATGTTGTTATGTAGCTGGGATATCAATAATTACGTACTGTTGAAGTACACCTGCGCTGGCGGTCGAGCTTACTTGGCCCGTGAATGCTAAACATGGAAATAACGGTCAAACAGCCATAAACAAACACGGTCAGTTGATGTGAGAATGACCCATAACGTGTTTAACTTTGGCCATAAGCACCATGCTAATATTTATCTTCTTGCGTTTGTTTGAAGTTGCACCTGGCAAACACATTTGAACTTAGTCGCCGCATCAAAACACCTAATATCCCTCGAGAAAATTCTCAAAAAAATAAAATGAAAAATCGCTTGGGATTAGATCAGGACCATTTGAGTGGGCCGGAGCTCGCTAGTGGCGCCATCTGCAGTCGCCGTGCCCCAAGCGTGGATATCTGATGCCATCCATTTCAGCGATGCGGTGGGTA